ATACATCAATTTTCTCTTGGAACTACAAATGTATGTTATTGAAACTAGTATTGGTGGGAAAAGTTTGATTTTGCTCTCATGATAATTTTAATTTTCCATTTCTGCTTTTCTAACTGTTGTCATTTGTATTTTATAGACAATTTGCTGTTTTCTTTCTTGCAGAACGTGGTTCACCACGTAATTTGGTTGTCACAGACATAACTGACACTACTGTTGGGTTATCATGGACACCAGCCCCAGGAGCAGTTATTGATTATAGGATAGTATGGAAATCACTTTATGATGATACAGTGGGAGAGAAGAGAGTCCCTGGAAATACAGTGGATGCTGTGCTAGAAGGCTTGGAGCCAGAGACGAAATACAGGATTTCAGTATATGCAACCTACAGCAGCGGAGAAGGAGACCCGGTAGAAGGAGAGGCTTTTACCGATGGTGAGTGTAGTACAGCATTACCACCATTTGTAACATTCTGTTCTTGATGAAATGATCATATTTTAAAGAAAAAGGACCTTATTTTTCTTCACCTTTTTTTTTTTTTTTTAAAAAGTCTTCCCAAACCAAAATCCCACCTCAGATCAGTCAATTCTGGCTTTTTGTTTGACCATTAAAAAAAAAAAGAAAAATCTCTTCAGTGTCATGTAGGTTTGGATTCAGTGAGAATTACTTCCAACTTAAGATGTGATTTTGTCTGCAAATTCCTCTGAAGCCAGCCTTTCATGGGTTTGGTGTGACTGCCTGAAATTAAGTGGAAGAAATGTTGTGCATAGAGTAAGGAGGAAAGGTGGGGTAGGTGCCCACAGAATCAACAAATTTCCTTTCCAAGCTATTGCCCTTTCTGGTCTTCCCAGTCCTCAAACTGAGGCTCACTGGGTAATTCTGATGTTTGTTATTTACCTTTCCTGGGGCTCTTCTTTTTTCTTGTCTGATAAACATCCTATACTATTAGTCAAAGCAGGCTCCAGCCTCTCCTGCGGTGTAGGCAAAGTAAGAACCGCTGAGATGGCAGGGATAGCTTGTTGCTGTGTAGCAAGAACTGGCAAGTGGAGAAGACAGAGTGAATGAAGGGATGCCCTGGATCAGCCTTGCTGTCTCTGTTGTTTGCCTAGAGGGGCCATGTGAAGCCGAAGCTTGAGGAAGTGCTCTGGGCAAGCATCACGGGTGGTTACACGTCCTTGTACTCTTTCCTAAGCAGCTGCTTTGACTGCTGTTGAAGACAGGCTGCTAAGCTATGTTGCCCTTTGTCCTTGACTCAGCACAGTTGCTCTTTAGGTCCCACAAGAATAGTGATTGCTGCCATTGGTGAGAGCTGACTCCCCAGAGTCAAATCAGACTGCTGTCCCACAGCTTTCCTCTCTCTTCGAGAGGAGCATTAGCTGTCCGGCCTTTTCCAGACTAAGGAGGCAGCTTAGCCACATTGCTTCTCTCGGTGTACCTGCTGCGGGAGCTTGCTGTCACGCCTGTCGATAGACTCAGAGCTAACCAACATTGCATCTTTCTGTTGCAAACACCGTTAGAAATTCTCAGCTCCTAGGACTGAGAGAGGATACTCTGGCCTGCAAAGCCTACCTTACCATGTGCTGAATACTGACCCGTTCTGGCATGCCAAGAGGGTTCTGTTTTGCCAAAACCTAGATGGCTTATTCCGGCGGCTGACAGCCAGCGTTACATGCCTTTCATTTCACTTCAGATCATTTGTAACGTTTGTACAGTCTGGAAAATATCTCTCAGAAGCTGAGTGCTGCAATTTGTAGAGAAAATGCTTTATTAGTCCGTGTGCTTATTTCAGCACATATACTACCCTGCAAGGAGTGGTGAGTGATTTTCCAAGCATTTGGAAAGTCACTCACCACTATTTGCGGGATACTTTGCATGGAGCCCAACACCCAGCAGTTTAAGTATTTACCGGTACCTTATCACATCTCTAAACTTAAAACTTAGAAAATCTTAACCCTGTAGGACACTGTTCATTAAAAAAATGACTTTGTAATTTATCACTTTCATTTGAGAGTGCTGAATCCATTACTTAACAGATTGCTGATAAGTGTGACTAAATAAAACTCCCAATTATGCTGTGTCGTCATGTAATTCATACTTCCCTCTTTTTTCCTCTGTAGTGGAAAGCACACTTATGTTTGTTTAGTTGATTTCAATTAAAAAATAATTAGTCTGTGAGATTTCTCTGTGTCTTCCCCACAATCAAATACTGTCATTTTAAAGAGGGCAATTTTTTTAGTACAGCAGAATGAATTTACTAGGCAAGCATTTGAACATATCTTTATGTGACAAAGTAAACATTTATCCATATTTTTACACTGAAAAGTGTCACCAAATGCCAGGACTGTGACAGTAGACAACGAGACAGAAAATTCAATGAGAGTTACATGGCAACCTTCACCTGGGAAAGTCTTGTCTTACCGTGTGTACTACCGAGCACGGAGTGGAGGAAGGCAGATGTTTGGAAGAGTGAATGCTCCTGCTACAAGCATAGTGCTAAAGCGACTTAAGCCGCGAACTACGTATGACCTCAGTGTTGTTCCAATTTATGATTTTGGACAAGGAAAATCAAGAAAAGCAGAAGGAACAACAGGTATGTATCACAAGCTTGTATAGGATTGGATAATTAAAGTTTTGTGCTTAAATTTAATGATCATGATATGAAGAAAAGTATGGTGCAGTGTGCCAAGACCAGGAATCAACAGGCAAATTGAAGAGAATGTTAGAGGTTGAGAAGAGTTGGATTTGTTGGAAACATCACTATGACACACCCTGAGCACAGCTTTTTGCTGTTGATATTGAGGGTGTAAATATGGTGTAAAATCTGGTTGAAAACACTGGACTTGCTTTGAAACGCTGTCATCAGAAGTTAAAATGAGGTGTGTTGTGCAGAAGGGAGTATGTCAACAGACTACTGCGTGTTGTTAGTGGTCTCATAATTTGCCTTTCGGTCCTCGGAATTGATTAAATAGCTGCCCAGCATCCTGTACTTAGATTTGTCTTCTTTGGTCACCATATTTTCTGTGGAAAACCCGAGGTAATAAAAAGGACAAGTAGTTGATTTTGAAGAGTCATCGGTGGAAGCCTTATCTCAGAGACCATGGCCTTTTGGACAAGCTGTCTTCTCTCTCAGAAGCTGAAACTCTAAAACATTTGTTAAGTCCTTGTGAGGAGATTTTTGTGGTAAAAGCAAAACTAGTTTTCTGCTCTGCCTTTGGTATCTGATGCTGGTCTTTCATTTTGTAAGGAAATGTTCTCTTGCTCTCTGGATCAAGTCAACTGGATTTAAAGTCCGTTTTTTGCTCCGATCGATAGAGAGCCATTACCAAACCAGATCTTTTTTCAAGATGTTTTAACCCGTGTGGGACTAATGCCGTTCACTGCGGTACACTGTAAATGCTTCATACCGTTCTCTGTTCTCTGAACACGTCACATTGAATGATGACAGGAAGTAAGAAATAAGTCTCCTGACAGTGGTCATACTGGCACCTCAGTTACTAGAGGAAGATTTATTGTAAATTAAAATGTGGTTGATGTAGAGGAGTTACAAAAACTTGATCAGCTCTTGGCCAACACCTAGGTTTTCAATCTTGGAAATTATACTGAGATAAATCTCAGATCATCCAGCTGCTTTTGATTTTTGACGTGTTCAACTTGATACGGATATGCCTCTGTGCTTTCAGTGTAAATAACTGGGGTGGTAATCATGCTTTGGAAGCCAGTGGAGCGTGAGTGATCTTGTTTGTTGAAGCTGTCGTCATAATTCAGGGAGGAGTATCATGGGAGAAGAGGCAGGCTGTATTTTTCATTGTGAGTGAGAGCGTATCTACTGTTTCTCAACAGAATTCACAGTCTGAGGACGTTTATGATCTTTCAGCTACAGTTAGACAATTGCATAGGCCAAGGGACAAACTCTTTTTTTTTTTCCTCCACCTTTTCACTCCAAAGCTATAGAGGTAACTTCTGTTTACACTAATTCCTATTTTTGCAGCTTTGGGATTATGCTGCTGCAGTGTTTTCTATGACTGCAATTTAGATTTACACAAAAAAAAAAAAAAAAAAAAAAGTGATGCAGAAGCTGTCATAAGTCTTGTTAACCACTCTGTCTGTCTGCAAGTGCTGACCTGCACCGGGTAGCCGTTAGTCTTCAGAGGAAGTTGCTCTTGACCTAGAAACCTCAAGCTGTTTGTCTGGCACTCCTCTGAAGAATTATTTTTTGACATACTGCCACACCTGTGGCTGATGAAGTTGCTTTCGCTGCCAGATCCCGAGCACATAAAGGGAAAGGACTGTTGGCAGGACCTTTCCCACGAAAGGGTCCTTGCGTCCCCTCTGTCCGTGCTCCAATGTGTGGGACCCAGAGCTCTGAGGAAATAGCTTGAGAATTGATATTGTTGACTGAGTACTGGCTGGGTGTGACTTTTGCCTGCAGTAAATTCTGATTTTTCCAGTGCTGGTTTGGGAGGAAGCTGCTTCCATTTGTCTCTTTTGGGTCTATATGGCTCACCTACTTGTCGCCCTTTAAAAGAGAGAGGGCTACTCTAGGCTGGTCATCTACTATTTCTCTTTAGTTAACAGAGAGAAAGACTGGCGGTGGTTAGTCCACCTCTTGTCAACATCTATGGTAAGATCAGATGGATGTTTAAGACAGGTGAGGTGAATTGCTCTCTGTCCCTCAGTCCACTGATGGCAGAGGGAGACTTGGTGACAAATGTAGCCCGTATACCTGTCGGTTCGGTAGCTAAAATTAGGTAAAGTGAGCTTGACCTTTCACCTCTCGATACTTGTTTTTATGTCTAAAGAAAGGCACAAAGAGTTTATGGCTGCCACTAGTACTGCATTTGCATATAGATTTTTACATAAAAGCATACTTGTTTTTTTTCCATAACCAGACCTGGTTTAAATCCTTTTTTTCCATCCTTTCAGCCTCTCCCTTTAAGCCACCTCGAAATCTGCGAACTTCTGATTCAACGATGTCAAGTTTCCGAGTAACCTGGGAGCCAGCCCCAGGACGAGTGAAGGGGTACAAAGTTACTTTCCACCCTACCGAAGATGACGGGAGTCTTGGAGAATTAATAGTGGGGCCATATGACAGCACAGTAGTGTTGGAGGAGCTTAGGTATGGATAATGATTTTATTTTTAAAATAACTTTAGCTTAGGGTTTTGTTTAATTATGATCTGGGATTGAAATGCCTGTCAAAATCTACATAAGAGACTAATTTTGTCAATAATCTACTGGGATCTTGTTATGCAGTCTCTGAAAAGCACCTGGCAGGGCTCTTTCTGAGATGATTCACATCACTCACAGTGTTCTCACAGGAACTGAAAGAGACAAAGATGTGGGCAGAGGCTGTGTTCTGCATTTTGCATATGAGAAAGCTAATGGGACACTGGAGGAATTTGGGATTTCTAAAGTTTCCTCCTGGAAGTTCCTTACCTCATGTTAAAAAAAGCCTAGTTTAGTTCTTGATTTATTTTTTCAGAGGCTTGGATTTCTAAAGTAGGCTTCAGACCATGTCAAAATCTGTTAGGCAAGTATACTAAATGTATTTTTAAAAGAATCATTAATTAAGTATGATATTAGTCTTTATTAGCCTTAAATTACTTAAATTTAGAAGGCTGTAAATTTAAGTATAGAGTCTAGAATCAGCTTTTAAATGGTAAAAACTTCACTGTCTTTTGGAAGAGCTACTCTTCGGGATTCACATTTTAGCACTTTTTCCATGGAGGATTTTTTTTCTGTGAGGATTTAATAAGGGAAGTGTCAGCATTTAGCTAGCCAAGTGACTTTAGTTACAGTACATTTGTTTAACTATTCCAGGGCAGGAACTACCTATAAGGTAAATGTTTTTGGAATGTTTGAAGGAGGAGAGAGCAGCCCCCTGGTTGGACAAGAGATGACCACCCTTTCAGATACTACTTCGGAGCCATTTTTATCTAGAGGTAAACATGAAGAAAAGGCAGCCTTGGTTTATGGATAAAAAAAGATCAAAAGTTTACCACCATTTCCTTACCATTTTTCTAATGCACATAAATATTTATTTACAGGATTCAATATACTGCCTACCCCGATGACATAACCTCTGGTCTGAAATGACCACTAAGCATGCCCCGGTTCACTATTCCAGTCCTCTGCACCCTTTAGATGATCTGACAAAGATGATAGCTCAGGCAGCCCATGTTTTGCTGATTACTCAAAGCCATCTGCGTTGTGTTTTGAAGCCATCCACATCTGTGTCAAATCGCATAAGGTCAAATTCTTGAGCAGAGATCATGGCTCATATGCAGCGCTGTTCACAGGAGCAGAATAGGGAATTTGAAGCAGATCTTTATCCCTTTGCTTGTCCTTATATGGTGACTTTCCCTTTTAAGACTAAGATGGTATAATGAAAAAAGTTCTGACAGTTGGGAATGTCCCGGTGTTATTGTGCATTATTTATGTTTGTGTGCAATAAAACCATTATTTAGTCTTTTCTTTTTTTTTAATATAGAAGGAGACTCTAGGTCAGAAATGCAATTGCTGAGTGCTCCCCAGTTTTGGAGTTTTCCCCTGTGTAGTTAAACATTCCAGTCAAAATTTCTATGGATGTTATGATAGCAGCTCCCTATATTTGAGTTAGGGATGTGTTACAGCATCCTTAATAGTTGTGCCTTGTGCCCACCATACTCTCAATTAATATTGGGTGAAGAGAGTTTTGGGGCTCAGTCCTCCTTCAGATCTTTGCCTCTTCATAGCCAAGTATACATGTAGAAGCAAAGACTTTTCTCCTCTCCCATTTCAAGGCTTGTATAATCATCCAAGAGAACTTGGTGAGGAGAAAGAACCTAGCTGCAAAGGCCTTTCAGAGTTAAATAAAGAAAAATGTTCGTGACAGTTCACTCCGTATTCTTTTCACATAACCTCTTTGATGCCTTGTTTCCACGCTGGGCTGTGTAAAAAATATTCACCTCATGTAACTTTATTGACAACATTTTTAGAAACTTCTTAATTAATTATTGTCCCACCCTGTCTAATACAAGAGGGTAAAACTGAGAAAAACTACATAACAGGCCATCTGTGACTTTAGAGTAAAACTGTGATAAGTTTGGGTGAAAATAATTGCACCAAGAGTGGTTTGTTATTTTTTATTACGGCAGCTGTAATTTCTGTCTTCAGTGTTATGTTCTTTAAGCTAATTACTTTTACTAATGCATGGATTTGAGTCATAGTTAATGTAAATAATTAAATTTATATCTTGGACTGTAAATGTAATAGTATATTATTTATTAATGGAGAAAAAATCACCCTAGTTCTGGTGCCTTTGCTAGAATTTTCCATGTGGGGAACTATGGTAGTTGGAAGAAAAATAAGTCAAAATAGTTTAAATTTATATTGTACATGAAGCTGACTTTAAGTTCCATGTTTAAGTTATGCATGCAATTTTTTGAAGTTATATGTTTTTACTTGAACCCTACTCCCAACTGTTTTTATTGTCCTGACTAAAGACTAGATCTATATTTTCTATGCAGCAGAGGATCATGCTTTTAACCCCCAGGTACATGGAATAGTTATATTCATGAGTCTACAGTGTTGGATCAATTATGTGGAACATGTATGAAATCACAATATCTTTCAACTGTGATGAGTGTGGCTGATTTTTCTCAATGGGATTTCTTCCACATAAAGACCAGAAGCTCTGATGGCAGGAAGCCAGAAATTTTGCAGCTGGTAACACAATCTACAGGAAAAGAGAGAGAGCAAGGGTTTTTTTTTGTTTGTTTGTTTGTTTTTTTTTTTGCATATGGCTGTGGAGAAAATCATTGTGTCTCTCTGTTTTGTATAAATATTTTGTGATTTTCCTTGTGATGAAAACAATATGATGCATATTTTATTCTGTAATTTGTAAAATGAAGATGTCTGAAATAACTTCCTACCTTTTCAGAACATTGCAGCTTTATATAAATGTTTGTTCTTGTCTCCTTTCTATCTCTTGACCTGTGTTTGTGTTTGTGTATCTTTAAATTGTGTTCTTTCTTTCCTGGATGTGCAAACTTCTATACCACCTGTATTACCATGTCTTTTTCCCCTGAAAATTCATAAATGCTATTTATTTGAAAGTGGTTGTAGTATATGCTATTCATTCCGCTCTTACATAGCTGAAGATTAAGCAGTAGTTTAGCCAACCATGACAGACTAAAATGCTGTAAATGTGGATAATCTGATAATGCTCACTGCCATGGCAGTGGTTAGCTTAGTACTCTTTCACAAAACCTCTGAAATCAAGTTATCCACCATCCTGAAAGACCAAAATGGATAATGTCATGACAATAGAGAACAGCACTGGCCTGGACATTTGTGGAGGCTTATTTAGAAAAGGAACCATACATGAAGAAATTTGTACAGCTTTTGCCATGGAACCAGTGACTAGTGTGGATAGTGTTCACAAAGATGTCATACTTGACAGAGTGCCAGTGAATAAAACTAGAGTTATTTTGGAAGCTAACTCATGACATATGTCATATAAAAGGATGGGGAAGGAAAGCTATCATGCTAAGGCTATATTTTTCTGGTTGACATGGCAGGTTTAGAATGTAGAACCAGAGCAGAAGCTGATATCGTGCTGCTGGTGGATGGCTCGTGGAGTATCGGGCGGCCAAATTTTAAAACTATCAGGAACTTCATTGCCCGTATTGTTGAAGTTTTTGATATTGGTCCTGACAAAGTTCAGATTGGTAAGTCCTCATATGTTGGAGGGAAGATGAGGTGTAACTGCTACACAGCCACGTAATAACTGAGTAACGATGGCTTTTTTTCCAGGTCTTGCACAGTATAGTGGAGATCCTAGGACAGAATGGAATCTCAATGCTTACCAAACCAAACAGACTTTGTTGGAGGCTGTAGCCAACTTACCATACAAAGGAGGCAATACCCTAACAGGTTTGTCACACTGCCTGGATTTTCCATAAGCTCCAATAAAAATAATTCTAGTAGCTGGCCTCAGTATTGTTCGGTGAGCTCAAATTTGTCCATGATGGAAGGGTCTCATGGTTCAATTCAGTATGTTTGGAAGAGAACAGGCACAGTATGTAGACATATAAACTCAGTGGAAATCTGGAGAAGAGTGATGGAAGATAGTTTGGGTGGTGAAGAGCTTGGGTTGCTGTTGAGCACATGAAAAGAGGAAAAGAAAGTTCCATATCAGGGTTGGGATGACAAGGTGAGAATCCAAAAGGGAGGCTAGAGGAGATCTGATAGGAGGGTGATGGATGAAAGGTCAGAGATTAGAGACTTTGGGAGGGCTGAAATAGTGTCAGTTACTGATAAGTGTAGATGATGGGCTGCAACTAGATTCTTAGTACTTCTAAGAGGAAGTAAATTGTGGAATAACTCTCCTTTCCCATGACTACTGTATGGAAACAGTTTAATAGTGATCATTACCTTCTTTGTATCGTGTTAGGAATGGCCTTAGATTTCATCTTAAAAAACAACTTTAGACAAGATGCAGGCTTAAGGCCCAGAGCTCGCAAAATTGGTGTTCTCATCACTGACGGCAAATCACAAGATGATGTAGTCACCCCTTCAAGAAGACTCAGAGATGAGGGAGTGGAACTTTATGCAATTGGTAAGTATCATATGAAGAGGTGGCCTGTGCCAGCCCCCTCCTTCCCATCTGCTGAATGCACAGAGAAGTGGCCACATACATAAGTACCTAAAAGGGTACTCAAAGAATATGTGTAGGGACTTAAGTTCAAGGCATTATGTTTCATGGTCATCATTTCTAACAAGTTTTGTTTTCATGTGTGCTCTGTAAGGTATTAAGAATGCAGATGAAAATGAATTGAAGCAGATTGCAACGGACCCAGATGACATCCACGCTTACAACGTTGCAGACTTCTCCTTCCTGGCTAGCATTGTTGATGATGTAACTACAAATCTGTGTAACAGTGTGAAAGGCCCAGGTACATCACATTTGAAGTCGAATTAATCCCTTTTCCATTTATGCGCTTGCTCTGCTAATTCCTTTTTATTACTTGTTGGGCACGCCATGTAGCCCTGGGCTGTTTTTTCAGCTGCTGGTGTGAGGAAGTTGTGCAGACCACCTGGACTACCCTGCAGGGGCTCTTCCTTTCCTTTCAACAATGACTGTGTTATACCTAACACAGCATGACGTGGCTCAACATGCTTTCTTTTCTCCCAGAGTCAGGATATGCTGCTCAGTGTGTCACCTTTCTGCTTATTGTGGCAGGCTCACTCATTCAATAAGGAAAATTTCAGCAGCCTTGCTCTTTTCAAGTGTTAATGTCTGACAGCCCAAAAGCAAAGCTGAGCATGGAAAAACAGTAATGTTAGCTGGTGGTTCTCCAGTGGAACACTGGTGTTGAAGGTGCAGTAGGAACAACAGGGAGGTTGTTTGGTCTTGAGGGTGTGTCTCTTCACGCAGTTGTTTTAAGAATTCATGAGGAAACAGAAACATAAGCAGGTACCTGAAGGTTTTTTTTTCTTTTTCCTAATTCCTAAGAATTGTTTATCTTATGTTTTTATTCCTGATGATATATGAGATAAATTAATAATTTTTAATTTGCTTCCACTTGTAGGTGATTTGCCACCTCCCTCTAACCTAGTTATTTCGGAATTGACACCTCGTTCTTTCAGACTGAGGTGGAGCCCACCCCCTGAAAGTGTTGATAGATACAGAGTTGAATATTACCCTGCCTCTGGAGGTAGCCCTCAACAGGTTAGTGCTGTATGTTCACCTCTGACATTGTCCATAGTAACCTTGGACTTCCACATTGCAGCAATGTCATTCTGAAGTTTGTGCTGCGTACTGTATAACAGTAAAGGCAAAAAGGCTTCCAAGGTCCAGAATGTCATGCCTCGGTAAATGATACACAAAATTACAAAAAGTAAGAGCATAAAGATGACTTTGGTTGTGTTAAAATCGTTAATCCAGAAGTACAATGTATTTCTTAAAACCAGTTGAGTGGTGTGTCTAGTCATTCCTTTCTGTTCATATTCCATTTTTGTGTATTGGTTTAAATAAGCCTGTAGGAGAAATTTTCTGAGCATACTCATGGGCTCATAGGCTCACTGTCCTTTTAGCACATTTTCTTGTTAACAGGAAAAAAGGCAGCGGGTGATCCAGGTTGGGAGGTAGAGCTTAGATTAACCTTGTATGATGGTACTTTGAATCTGTGCCTAAGCGTGTCCTCCAAACTGTTTAAACAGGGTCGGGCTCATCTTGTGGTTATTCTGTACACAGAAAGCCAGCAACCAGCAGCCCTTGATCCTGGACAATCCGAATTGCTCATCAATCTCTTCAGCCAGACAGAATGGTAGTTTGGAGAATGGAGTTAGGCACCTCTGTTTACCTAACTCCAAACTTCCCATCCCTGAATGTGGCTTTGAAATCTTAACGTAGATTTGGGTTATGGATAATTTCATCTTAATAAAGTATTACCTCAGGGTTTGGCCTTGGACTGGGGTTGGAGCAGCCGTTCCAGTGCAGGCTGACTTTACAACTTGATGGCTTGATGACGTTTCTGTTCTGCAGGATGTTTCTAATGCCACGTGCTGTAACCATCTAGATTATCCTGGGCGGTTAAAACAGTAGTAGTGGTAGTGGTAACATACCTCTCTGGCACTTTGTTTATGATGCTGAGTGATAGAAAAGTGTAAACCATGCATGAAAGCAGCTGCACAGGGAGTGCTGTTAGATATATCCAGCTCTGCTGGAAACAAGTGGCTGTCTGAGGTTTCTCTACAGCTTGCCTTGCAAAAAGTAGCGGTATACTGTCAGAAAAAATACACAGAAGATTAAGACCATACTTGTTTTTGGTTGCATACCATTGATTTCTGAAGATTTTCACAAGGAATTAATTTTTTTCTTAGAGATAAAATTACAAATGTATTTGTTCTCCAGTGGTTAACGTTGCCTCTCTTTTATGTAGTTTTATGTAAGTAGGATGGAAACAACAACAGTTCTGAAAGATCTGAAGCCTGAAACAGAATATGTTGTTAATGTGTTTTCGGTGGTAGAAGATGAAAGCAGTGAACCCCTCATCGGCAGGGAAACAACTTGTAAGTTCGAAATGGAACTTGAACAACATATTAGCAGCCAGTGTGGCATATGGGGAACTGTGCAGTGGGACTTCTAGCACTATGGGCTTTCTTCTTGGAGGAAACAACATTTTTAATTTGAAGGACCAAACTGTGTGGTGTTATGCTGGTTGTTCAGATCTTGGCTGAAAAGCTTTAGCAAAGTGAAACTGCTTTGTGGTAAAAAATGTGTGTCCCAGTGTCTTTCCAGGCTCATGAGGCATGGTTGTACAAGACTAGAGCAACAGACATGAATTACAAGACAGAGTTTATAAATTCCTGAAATCTGATAATATACAAACGTGTGCTCCTTCAGTTTTATGCTAGATAACTAATTCCTGCTACTAGCAGCCAGAATGCTATTGAAATTCATTCTAGTTTTATAAGATTGACAAAAGCCAGTTGAGCACAATCACATCACTTGCATGAGACACCACTTAGCCATGCTGTTTCTGCTGTTAGCTGTCTAAATGATTGGTTTTAGGTATATTTATGCTGAATGCACCATAGGGTGGCTTTCCTGCCTCTTCAAGTATATTGAATGTTAGGTGTTCATTTCACTTCATTGGTGTTTTTGTATTTGGCTTGTCATAAACCCTTAAAGTATGTACATGATTTTTATGAAGTCTGTGGTAATTTTTGATGTTTATTTAATAATTTGAGAAATATAGAAAAAAAAAAGTACAAAAAATCCTTTTATAAGTACAGATCCCAAACCAGCCATCTTCTGTTTCATATTAGAGCATTAATGTGAGTTAATGTTGCTCTTTAGAATATTCAAGTGCTCCAGTGCAGACTTTTAAGATAGTTTTAGCTGTGTGTAGAAAATCTGTAACACATTCAAAATGTGATGACCATTACCTCATTCTTAAACTAAGCACCACTCAGAATACCACGACTTTGCAGATCACCTTTCAGCCACCCCTAACGTACCCTGATACCCGTGTTCAGTATTCTCCGTGGTGCCGCCTGTGATGTGAAATATGAAAGGTGAAGAAGGGGAAGGAAATAAATTAATACACGTTGTTTGTCTGGCAGTGCCAGTTTCTTCAGTCAGAAACCTGAATGTTTATGACATTGGATCAACTTCCATGCGAGTGAGATGGGAACCTCTCAGTGGAGCTACTGGTTATTTGTTAACATATGAAGCTGTGAATGCCACAGTCCCAACTACAGAAAAAGAGGTAAGAGGATTTTTCTTCACTTCCTGTACTCTACCAAAAATAAATTAAGAAAAATTGATGGATTTTCTTGATATATCACCATAGTCAAAAGAGACTGGCATGTGCTTCTCAAAGTGCAGTGAACTTACTGGGATATTGTATGCAATGACATCAGTCAGGAGGGTGTAAATATGCTGCAGATCTCACAAAATTCCCTTAAAGACAAATCATTGCTTTTTTTTCTGCCATTGCTTTCTTCAATTTTAAACATGGTGTGTTATTTTTCATGTGCAGATGCGTGTTGGCCCGTCGGTGACTGAGGTTCAGCTGGTAGATCTCATCCCCAACACTGAGTACACCTTAACAGCTTACGTGTCGTTTGGTGATATCACCAGTGACCCGCTCACCACCCAGGAAGTGACATGTATGGACATCTTGATTTCTGCTCTGTTGTTATTGCTTCAGCAACGTTTAACTTTCATTTTATTTCATGGAACAGTTTTTATATATTCTGTTTTTCCCTGTTTTATGCATTGTCTAACACTCATACATTTTCCAAAAGATCTTAAAGGCAATTTCAACTAAAAGGGACCAACTATTAAAACAGGAACAAAAGGGTTTTTTCCTTGAATAATGAAGGAACCTGGATTGACAATCTCAAGGCTAGTGTTTTTAAAAGGTCTCAGTTATGCTTGCATTAACTTAGAAACTTTGTTCCCAAATTCAGACATTCTCTTAAGTATAGAAAATTCCAGGGAAACGTGCCATACCTTGGCAAAAATGATTAGATATGGCTTCCTTTCTTAAACCTTTCATTAAACATCTTTCCTTAAACATTTCCTACTTGCAGAGGCATATTTCTGGGCTAGATGGTTATTCTTTTGCTCTTAAAAAAATGTTAAACCCTTAAATGTACATGAAAAGTGGCTGGTGCCACCAAAAGTTATGATCTTAAGCACTGATCCTTCTGAAACCACTGTGCTCGTAGTTTCCAAAGGTGAAGCTACTGGAGTGTGTAGCTATTTTGCTCATTGCTGGGACAATAAGCTCTTAATCTCTCATCTAATGTCCAGAACAATGAATTTCCCAGAAAGTTCTTGCCTCCATTTCAGTGAAATGCATGAAACTAGTTTAATTCCTTCTGAGAGAGACCTATACGTCTGCCAGGAATAGCATTCTCACTTACTACTGTAATTATTTTTGCAGTACCTTTGCCTGGACCCAGAAGCGTAACAATTCAGGATGTTACTCACAGCAGCATGAACGTCCTTTGGGATCCTGCCCCAGGGAAAGTTCGAAAATACATCTTAAGATACAAAATAGCTGAGGAAGCTGATGTAAAGGAGGTAAATGGCAGGAACATTTCTGAAAGTACTAGAAGACAGTTTTATTTTGAGGACATAGGTTACTAAAATAATAGTGAAAGTAGTATCATAAGCCACCATTGAGAACAAAGAACATGTTTGTGGTGACTGCCGTCAGGAAATGGTACTGATTTCTTGCAAACTGAATAAGCACAAGATTTCTTTGTGTACTCCCCTCTTCCTCCTCCTCTAGAAAGGAAAAATCCTCCAACTGACTGGAGAATTTTCCTGTGCTTTGGATAAATACCCACTTCTGCTCTCTGCTTAAATGTTATTTTGCCAAGCTCTAAGAACATCTTACAATTAGGAGGACAGGAATAAAGGTATGTTAGCACCTTTGCCCACTGTCAGGACATGTGTGAGCATTGTTAGAGATGTCTTTATGTGCACGCTTTCCATAATTGCACTGCTAGTCAACTCTTGGAGGATTACATGTGTTTTGTAAGGGCATGAGAATTTTCTGGAGATGCAGTCTGCATCCTTGTTTCTAAAAGACTGAAGCAGCGAAAGATTGAGAAGTAGCACTGGTGTCTGGGACAATATGCTTTGCAAGGGAGTTAGTAGATAGCACTCAATATACAGGTGTAAATTTGAGGTAAATGGTAAAATTTAGTGCGGAATACTTTTCTGTTTTTTTCAGTACAAGAATTTCTGCCATTTAATCAGATGCAGAATCAGAAACAGAGCAATTTACAATTCCTAAGTCACTGTTTTTATTCTTAGGTGGAAATCGACAGACTGAAAACCAGCATTGCTCTCTCTGACCTTTCCTCCCAAACACTGTATCATGTAAGAGTCGTTGCTGTGTACGATGAAGGGGAATCCCTACCGACAAACGCAGAAGCTGTCACTCGTGAGTTTTCCTAATTGCCCTTTTCCCGGTTCTTTTTGCCTTGTGTTCCATTTCAGTTGCGTGTGTTGCAATATATTACTGAGTTAGGTGGAACTGTAATTTAACCTATCTGAGAAATATTTCACTTGAATTTGCAGTGTTATTTGCAATATAATCAACCCTGGGAATCTTAGATGGGTTCTGTGTCTGCTGCAGTAAACACTGAGCCTGCAGCCTGCAGAGAGGCAACCGACCAGCAACCAAAGCCAAATTATTTGTGTGTAGAGGCTGAAGGAGAAGTGTAGGGATAGAATTAGTAAGAAAATCTGAGGGCAGAGGAAAGGTTTAGTGAGTCTGTGCAGGAGTCTAGGAAAGTGAGTAGGAAGCTGGGGCATATGCTAGAGGGTTAGAGAGATATGATCTTGCTTCTGATCCAAGAGTTTGTGTACCACGGAGTGCTAAACCAGGCTGTACTTTTAGAGAATCATCAAGGCGGCATTTGAGTAATCTCAACAAATAGAGGCGAGGAAATGATGTTGCATAAACAGCACGAGCAGATCTTGTACAAGAGAGGTGACGGACTGAAAGGCCAAAGCTGGTATTGGGGTGGCCCTCATCCTGATCTAGGCTTGTGATTGAAGAAGAAAGCTAACCAGAAGAGCTAGAACAGAAATGAGCAATGTTGCCTTATCACTGCCCCTCACTCTGATGTGAAACAGGAAAAATTCATGTGCTATCTCTTTTTCTTTTTTTTTTTTTCTTCTGAATTTTTGATTTTGTAGCCTGGTGTATTTAAAAATGTCTGTGAAATTTTTTGCTTGCTTTTGTGCTAGCCTTTCTTTTCATAGCTGTGGTTTTGTGTGAATGTGTGTGTAAGGAAAAAGAGGAGAGCCCTGCCAAAGACATTTTTAATTATCTGGTTTTACCTATTTACTCATTTCTTCCCAGTGGCTGTATTATTTTTGCCTCCTTAACCTACAGTTAACCTCTGTGAATTCTTTCTAAATAAGTGGTGTCATTCAGTCATGAATTATTTGGCTTATACAGAGAATTTCAAGATCTGTGAAAAACTCATGTAAGAGCTTGACCTGTGTGTGGGAATGCATAATCACTCCTAATTCCAAGACTGTAAGAGCTAGGACTCCAGTAGTTGTGAGCAGGCATGTGAGTTGTGACCTTCACTGAGTTCAGCAGACCTACATCTGTTTTATCAGGTGATGACGTGATAAAGGTCCTGACCTTATGAAGGAAGATTTGTTTAGTGTAGGTGGACTGGGTTATACTAAAGCATTTTATTGTAGCCATTAAAAGCATGGAAATTGAGAGAGTAATCTTCTACATAATCCTTTAAATTATTTTTTCTGAATAATTAATTGTTTAACTGTATTTATTTTGTAGTTACATTTTGTGGAATACTTTTTCTTTTCTCATAATAGAGCCTGTGCCAGCACCAGTCAACCTCAGAATCACAGATGTAAGCACAAATAGTTTCAGAGGAACTTGGGATCACGGAGCTCCAGATGTCTCCTTATATAGAATAACCTGGGGACCCTATGGAAGATCGGAAAAACAGGAGGTAGGAATAGATAGTCACCATAAGATTCTGTAGGCAGTCTCTCAGAGGGTATATTTTTGAAATCAGAAATGTAATTAATAAATGGTCTATAACTTGCAAGCCCTCTTGTTACGCTCAATGGAAATTCAGTGAGAAGGTGTAGAACACATAGTTACAGCTGCTTGCTGTGTTGTTACTGTGTAAAAAGTTACTCAGTTATATCCCACTCTCTGTTCTGTTTTTTTTTTTTTTGTTTTTTTTTTTTTCTTTTATTTAATTTCTCTGCAAGACTATCTTAAATGGGGATGAGAATAGTTTGGTCTTTGAAAATTTGAATCCAGATACATTATATGACATCTCAGTTACTGCCATCTATCCTGATGAATCAGAAAGTGATGACCTCATTGGCAGTGAGCGAACGCGTAAGTAAATAAAGAGTTTCTGCATGTTGTTATTTATAGTTATTAAATCAGAAGGCATGCACATACAAGAATTCTGAAAACTCTTTCTACTTTTTTTCTAGTACCCTTGGTACCTATCACCACACAAGGTAAGAATCTGAATGTCCAGGTATGGTATTATTAAAGAAAACCCATACCTATCTTTTTTGAAACTGTGAGGAATGTTGACATTAAAAAGCTGAGATAATTTAATAAATATTATTGTGTATTTGAAAGAATACTAAACACTAGATTACCACATGTTTACTATTTTACAAACATTACAATTTGTGTTATCTTGTACTTAATACATTCGGCTCTTTGACAGGCATTCATGCTGCACTGAAAGTATGAATGAAGTGTTTGTACCTGCTTTTTGCTCGAATTACATATTTATTCTTTTATTTATTATGTTTCTCAGCCCCAAAGAGTGGCCCACGAAACCTCCAGGTGTACAATGCAACGTCACACAGTTTGACTGTGAAGTGGGATCCTGCCAGTGGCCGAGTGCAGAGATACAGGATCACTTACCAGCCTATCAGCGGGGATGGCCCTGAGCAGTCGGTAACTAGTTTTGAAGTGCTATAGAAACTCAACCTTACATGGTAGTTCTGCAAATTAATCCCTTAGAATAATTTATTTTCAAAGCACAACAGCGTATCTATTAATCACCTTTTAAGTGAAGATTTATATTTATAGCGAATAAGTATATATTCCCACCTTTTTATTTTTCCCCTTTGAAATCCAAGATAGAATGCTCTTTATGGAGCAAAAATAACTTGGGATACAGCCTGTTTTCTGGAAAATCACATAATCAATCGATACAACTAGCGTTAAGTTAAAATATGTCACAGATATATATTTGTCATAGCTATCAATAATAAGAACTACCATGATACCTCCATAGTCCACTTCCATAGTCCAGAGTTTTCTGTTGTTTCCATAGAGTGGTTCGTGTGCTGCCAGAGGGGTTTTGCCACGGAACATACTGTGGACAGTCGAGCCTGCCTCTCACTGCGCTGGGGACAGAATAGCCACCCAGCAGCGGCAGTTACAAAAATGAATCTGTGCAAAACATATGTTAGAGAAGTGTTTAAAGTATTTTAGGGTCTTTCAAAATGATCGAGCATCTGTAATGATCGGGAGAGCCAGTACTGTGTGATCGGCCAGTTCTCCCTGCGTCGGCAGCAAGAGCTGTGCTGAGTGCTGGTGGCTGGCAGCACAGCCCGGGGGCGGGAAATCAGGCCGTGGGTTGGTATTTCAGCCAGCCTGTTCGTCAGCAGCGTGTGCTACCGACAAATGCCCTGCGCTGCAGTGGGAAGCTGCTGTGGCTGCTGCCAAATGACTCAGAGGAACAGCCTCAGATGAAAACCACACTCATTTAGCTTGTTCCTGCAATGGGAGCTCACAGATGTTCAGAGAAGCGTATCTAGGGATGTTGACTTTAGAATCAGTTGGATACATACGCGCCCATTTTCATCTCCTCTGAGCAACGTGCGTTTGAATTCAGGTAATTCAACTGCTGAATGAATGGAGTAGCTCAACGCAAGTTTAGTGAGAAATCACCAGAAGAATAAGGAACAGCAGTAAGGTTAATTAATATCTGTAATTAATTGCTGGTACTGGAGTAAAAAAAAAAAAAAAAAAAAAAGAATTATGGGCATTATGTTGAAATTTGTGCAAAGAATGGACCAAATACACTTTATTCACAGCTGGGTAGAGTCCTGCAGTGGCAGTCTGAGGAGACACCTCTTTCTGAGGAGGGCACACAGGACACTCATGCTCTGTTCGTGGCATTTTAATGTCTGCAAATAATTCTCAGTCATATGATGGTAGTTCCTTCTCTGCTTTTCTTGTTACTGGGATATTTGATTGAACTGCAGTTGTTGGGTAGGCAGCAGTGTCCCCACTGAAATATTTTAAATAGAATTTGTTGAAGTTTTTTGTTGCTGTGTCTGACATTTAGTGTCCTCAGCACCAAGAAAGAGCCCAGGTGATTTGAAGACAGCTCTGCAAAAACTGCACACCAGACTCCAGAGGCCATCATGATCATTTAGGGTCAGGCTGTGAAAGGCAGATACTAAAATACGGAGGCAGCTGTGATGGGATGCTAAAAGCATTTATGCTTTGAACTGCACTTTGTACACTTGAGTACAAATAAGAAGTTTTCTTGTAGATTAAAATAATCTATGAAATATGAAGATGTATAAATGCTTGCTCATTATTGGTTCGTCATCATCAGAAGCATTTAAGTGTTATGACAAACGTATCAGCTGAATAGGCTTTGAAAATGTGCAGATAGTCTTAAAAGTACAAATGATGCTCTTGAGCAAATGTAATTTAACACAGTTAAACCCCCAAAGCTCAATTCACAAACACTGAAGATCTCGGTATTATTCTCGGTACTCTGTGAGTCTTTTAGCTGGTGGAGATTATGATCACGGGATTACACATCAAAGAGAAATTGAAATGAAAGATGTATAATGATTTTAGACTCTTAACAAAGATGGTTTAGAAGCTGAAGTATCATGCTGTTAAATTTTTGAAATTAAGGAGAGGCAATGTTGATATTGTATCAAATGTACATTAGAGATCTGCAGAGTGTTGTAATTTATCCCGTGCTTGCGTCCCACCTGAGAGTGGAGTATAAAGAGCCCAGCTCAGTTTGTCAAAATGGATGGAAGACTCTCATGGATTTCCATATGAGATAGCCAGGGGCAATGTGCAGAAACAGCTCTGGACTGGCAGAGAACTAGCAGCTGGTATGCAATAGCGGTCATATGCAAGTTTGAAGGACTCAGCCGTGGCTCTGTGTCACTGGACTCTGTCCAAACTTGCTGAGATGAATATGTACTAAATATTATTATTGTTCAATGTCTGCTGCCAGGTGTCAGTCACAAGAGCATTGCAGCATATGATATATCACAGTGCTTTCCACTCTGCATCAAATGCTTACATTCTTTACTATAGCAGGAAGCACAAAAGGGGCAGCACAGAAGGGATTTTAATCTTTTTCTTTTGTTTTACTGCAGACTATGGTTGGAGGGCGGCAGAACAGTGTGGTGATCCAAAAGCTGCAGCCTGACATGCCATATGCTATTACTGTGTCATCAATGTACGCAGATGGTGAAGGGGGACGAATGACAGGACGAGGCAGAACCAGTAAGTATCTTCTTGAGATAAGTTGTGTCAGTCCAGTGAAGGTCCCACTGATTGGAAAAGGGTAAGCATAACCCACATTTTTAAAGAGGGAAAAAAGGAAGATCCAGGGAACTACAAGCCGGTCAGTCTCACCTCTGTGCCTGGCAAGATCATGGAGCAGATCCTCCTGGAAACTGTGCTGAGGCACATGGAAAATAAGGAGGTGATTGGTGACAACCAACATGTCTTCACTGAGGGCAAATCGTGCCTGAAGAATTTAGTGGCCTTCTATGATGGGGTCATGGTGTTGGTGGATACAGGAAAAGCAACTGACATTATCTACCCAGACTTGTGCAAAGCATTCAACAGTCTCCAGTTCAGAGACCAGAATGTCACGTGGGACAGACATGGATTTGACAAATGGACCACTCGCTGGATAAGAAATTGGTTGTATGGTTGCACCCAAAGAGTTGTGGTCAATGGCTCAACGTCCAAGTAGAGATCAGTGACGGTGTTCCGCAGAGGTTGGTGTTGGGACCAGTGCTGTTTAACATCTTTGTTGGAGACATGGACAGTGGGATGGAGTGCACCCTCAGCAAGTTTGCCGATGACACCAAGCTGTGTGGTGTGGTGACACACTGGAGGGAAGGGATCCATCCAGAGGGATCTGGACAGGCTGGAGAGGTGGGCCCATGCAAACCTCATGAAGTTCAATAAGGCCAAGTGCAAGGTCCTGCACCTGGGTCGGGGAAACCCCAAACACAAATACAGGCTTGGAGGACAATGGCTTGAGAGCAGCTCTGAGGAGAATGACTTGGGGGTGTTGGTTAACGAGAAGCTCAATCTGACCCAGCAGTGTGTGCTTGCAGCCCCGAAAGTCAACTGTATCCTGGGCTGCATCAAAAGAAGTGTGACCAGCAGGGGGATGGAGGACATCTTCCCCTTCTACTCTGCTCTCGTGAGATCCCACCTGGAATCCTGCATTCAGCTCTGGGCCCCCAGTACAAGAAGGGCATGGACCTATTGGAGCAGATCCAGAGGAGTGCCACAGAGATGATCAGAGGGCTGGAGCACCTCCCATACGAGGACCAGCCTGGAGAAGACAAGGCTCCGGGGAGACCTTTTAGCAACCTTCCAGTACCTGAAGGGGGCTGCAGGAAAGCCAGGGAGGGACTTTTGACAAGGGCATGTAGCAGCAGGATGAGGGGTAATGGATTTAAAGTGGAAGAGGGCAGATTTAGACCTGATATTAGGAAGAAATTTTTTTGCTCTGAGGGTGGTGAGACACTGGAACAGGTTGCCCAGAGAAGTTGTGGATGCCCCATCCCTGGAGGTGTTTCAGGCCAGGCTGGATGAGGCTTTAAGCAACGAACTCGTCATATAATTCTAAAATAGTGTCCAAAACGAAGTTTTTCTTACTCTATTTAGCATTCCTTAAGCTGTTGGATGAGGCTGATGTATGAAGACAAATAACATTAAGATGAACTATTAAAGCTGTTGTTTTTTAAATTTCTTGGTGTACATTACATAGGCATGATCTGATAGCACAGGTGGGAGAACGTGGTTCCACATTTCTGACAGCTCCTTGATCTGTTTCAGAACCTCTCACTACTGTGAGGAACTTGCTAGTTTATGACCCAACCACCAGTACTCTGAACGTTCGATGGGATCACGCAGAAGGAAGTCCTCGCCAGTATAAAGTGTTTTATGGACCTGCAGCTGGAGGTGCAGAAGAAATGGTAAACATTTTGTGTGGATCTTGCTGACTGTCCTAGAGAAATTGCAGCTCATGGTGCTAGTGAGATAAACGCAGCTGAGGGAAGTGGGTCTTGTTTGCCTGTGCACTGGCTTTTTTCCTGTTCACTGCTCCCCTGGAGAAAATGCAGAGCACCTCCATGGAAGGCAGTTACTCCCCATGGAATACAGATGTTTGATTTTATATAGTAGACCTTCAGTGATTAGTTCTTAACGCAGGGATTTAATGCCACACAGAATTTGTTGTTTGTTTATTCTTAGGGCAGTGCATGTGAGTGTAAAGCTGATTTCAGGGTGTACCAAAGTCTGTAAAGTCAGCAGACCTCATTTATACCCATTTTTACTGCTAAGAAGTTACGTGACTGTAGGCAGTGAGCCAGGCTGATATTTTGAAAGCAGAAAAAATCCACATACATGTCTTATTCTCATCTCCTAAAATTACCTAATTGCTAAAGAGCTAAAACAATCTGGAAAATGGGAACCCTTGTTGCAGACTGGAAAAATATTATTCTCTCCCCCTTATGTTTCTTTTTCCACATTTGTGCAGTTTGATGTGCCTGTGAAATAAGGAGTACATGCACTGCCACTGTTTCAATAGCATTTATAGAGCTATTGATGATGAACATTCTTAAGTGTTGTAGAGTTTTCCTTTCTAACGTGAGCTGCTCATTACTTCTTCTCATTAGCATGCTGTAGTGTTATGTAATGTTTACTTTTTTTTATCTAGAAAGTGACTTTTTAATGCTTCTGAGCTGCTAAATAGTGGTCGTTAGAGAGATCATTGCAGGTTCTGCTACTGTTACTAGTACAACAGGATTTGGACCCAACCGTGAACATAGCTGTAAGGGATCGTAGAGGAGAGCATAGGACTTAACAACCATTTTTGTTAAGTCCAAGATGGAACCTTCTTGAAAGACAATTCCAGCAGATACCATGAACCCTGTTGCTTCAGACTTCACCTTTTGTAAAGATACTGGATGTATCACATCCAGTCTAGAAATGAGATGTGGTGGAGGAGTAAGGGAGATATAAAAACGATTAAGCTCTTTGCATATTTGTGTAGATGTCATGCCCCTACCTTTCCTTTTAAATTTGCAGACCACAGTACCAGGAAACACAAACTACGTCATCCTGAGGACTCTTGAACCCAACACACCTTACACCGTAACTGTGGTTCCAGTTTTCCCAGAGGGTGATGGTGGACGTGCCTCTGACACTGGAAGAACTTGTAAGTAAAACAGTCCTTTGCAAGAAAATGTTAGGATTTTTTTTTGTGAGTGGCTCAGATCAGTAGAAATTGATTTTACATCAGATATTCAAGTTTATTTTCCCCAAAGCTAAAACAGCTCTGTAACTTAGTCCGCTTTGTGTGCTTATTCGAGCGGAGGCTTTCAGTCACTTATCTCAGGCAAACTCAGCTCTTATGTTGTGCAACAAACTTGCTATTTACTTCCACGCAATAGTAAAATTTCAGTTGTAGTTCTAGGAGCAATACTGGTGAACAAATGGCAAATGTTGGTGTTAGCCCGTGCTAATGCCCATACCACGTACTTAAAACTTCCGAGGGACTTTGAGGTCCTAGTGTCAGCATGAGCTAAAATGGGTGGTTTGTGGCTATGTTTCCTACTTGTCTGATCACAATAGCATCACAAAGAGTTATGATCATACCTTCAATTTGCAGCATAAACATATGTACTGTTCTGCCTGGCAGGGACCTTTGTAAAGACGGAGATTCTTAGATTTGTAGATTTTGGGGTAACAAAGGTAATGTGTTTGTCTTGGGCTGATTCACTTCTCAGCACCTTTTGAGCACTGTTATAAATTCATGTAGAACTAGAACTTGTGTAAGCAACTTTGTGAAACAATTTAAATTATCCTTGATCCAGTGGAGAGAGGAACACCAAGAAACATCCAAGTTTACAATCCTACACCAAACAGCATGAATGTCCGATGGGAACCTGCTCCAGGTCCGGTACAGCAATACCGAGTTAATTACTCTCCACTCTCTGGCCCAAGGCCATCAGAATCTGTAAGTAATTTAGTTTTTATACTATTCCTTAAGAGCATGTGGAGGATATTGCTTCCTTCAATGAGCATAGAACGATAATAATAAACTCAGGTCAACCGTCTGCCCAGGGGTGTCCCAGCTGAAAACACTGTGTCTGCAGGAATTTAGTCCACTGTAAATAAATGTTTAATTTGGTGAAATAAATGAAATAAACTCTCCCATTTAAATCTAAGTATTAAGGATTGAGTATCCTTTATCATATTGCAGGTAAAGATGAGTTAAAACCTTTTTTTTTTTTTAATTGAAAAAGAAGGAAAAAACAACTATTTGTTAGGAAGTGTTTAATTATGAAACCAGATGCCAAGTTTATATGATTTTACCACTAAACCATCTGTTTACCCTAAATCGTTAGTAATTAAGTAGGTCTTGGTGAGGAGTGAAGTCTGGATAAGGGTAAAAATTTGCCCTCCAGGTGTAAAGTCAGAGTTCTTGGATTTGTGTAGCCATAGGTGCAGTTTTAGAGCAAAGCCGGTGAATGTCCTCAAACAAAATGTGCACCCACATTGTACAAGTACAGATGAATATGCTTTTATGTACGGAAATGTAAGAATTTTTAATGAATCATTTGCATCTGTAAAGTGAAACTGCATGCTACTTCACACATGAGTGGGAACCTGTGCATTGGTACCTGTCGGAAAATGTCCTTTAAAGGTCAGTGAACCATGAGAGACTTTCCTTCTTTTACCTGAATAATTCTTTTTTCCTGAACTATTTTTATGTAAAATGTAAAAAAATAACAATTCCATTTGCAGAATGAGAGCTTCTTATGCATTGTATCATTTTTTGCACCTGCTGTTGAATTTTTATCAACATTGTTTGATTATTTTAAACTTGTATTATTTTTCTTGGAAAATATGCAGCATGGTCATGTTCTCGTTTTTTCTAGATTTCATTCAAATTGTTCTTTTTAACAAGATATGGTATAAACTGAAGCTTTTTTATCTAGGTGCCTTTTGTTTCTGTTTCAGATTGTGGTACCAGGCAACACTCGTGATGTGATGCTGGAGCGCTTGACTCCCGACACACCTTACTCGATAAGTGTTGTAGCTCTGTATGCAGATGGAGAAGGAAATCCAAGCCAAGCACAGGGAAGAACATGTAAGAGGCAGTCAGTGCTTGCTTTGTGAAATATATGTCAAAATTGGTGTGTGAAGAATTTATAAAATGGGTTGCAATCACAAATAGTGTAACTCTGAGCTGAATACACCTGAGTTATGGCTGAAGCAATCACAGGCCTCCATGGAAGGGAGCTTTTGCTCTGTTGCCTGACACTTGTGGTGCATGCATAATCACCAAAGCAATTTTCATTTCTGAAATAAGCCTGACTTGAATGTTTAAGAATTTAAAAGCTGTTCTTTAAAATTTGATTACAGATAAACAGCAAATTGTCTTTTGGGAAAAAAATAGCACATTTAGATGGGTAGAATTTGCTGTCAACAGAAAAAAATGTGCTGCTTGTTCTGTGTCTGACGTGGTAATTGTATATGCCAACCTCCCAGATGTTTGTTTTTTGCTGGACATGCCTAAACATCAAAACCTCCTTGTTGACAGCTTTGCTTGTGGGATCTTGGTTGGCTTACACTGGCTTCTTTAAAATGAATTCTAGAAATACCATGTCAAGAAACTGTCTATGGCAACAGTAGGTCACCTCTCTTTCGCTGCTTCTCTTTTTGCTTGACTAAATCTACTTGTAGATGTTTATTCAGGGTTTCAGGGAGGGCCCTTAGCTTTGGCTTCAGGGCAGCGTTTGAATCAGTTAGAGCTGGCACTGGACTGGAAGAATCACGTCGCATACCAATTTCTGTGTGTTCTTTCTGTAGTGCCTCGCAGTGGTCCGAGGAACGTCAGAGTGTTCGATGAGACCACAAACAGCCTTTCTGTGCAATGGGACCATGCTGATGGGCCGGTCCAGCAGTATAGAATCATTTATTCACCCACCGTGGGAGATCCTATCGATGAATACGTAAGTTCTGTAATTCCTTAGCAAGCACCGAGACGTTCTCAGCTGATTATTTCGGCTACAGGTAAACAAAGACATCTGTTTTACGTGTACTACACTTTGCATGCTCGATGGGTTCTTTGGTCGTTGTTGTCAGTGCTGAAGAGCCATGGTTTGTATGAAACAGGTTTGGTTTTGTTTTGTTTTTTTTCCCATAAATTCACAGAACAGATACAGTCTAGTGAACCATCTTGTGTGTAAAATAGTGTTAAATATGTGAGTCACATCTTAATCAGAAGATTCTGAGCAGAACCTGCTTCCTGACATTTGGTTTAAACATTATACTACGGTAAATAGCCATCTATTGCTTCCTATTCTACTCATTACAAAGTCAATGTGCTAAGATACAGAATAAACATCAGTCTGCATTTTGTAAATTGAAGAGAGCTGTCAGAGCTCAGTAAGGAAGCAGTGGTAACTTTGTTTCAGCATCTAACCTGCCTTTGTAAGGTTCAGTATGAATTTTAAGTGTTTGTGTTTAATTTCCTGCAGCTTAATGGTAGCACAAGTTAATCTGATGCTTATGAGAATTGTCTGAGTGTTTATAGCAAAGCCAAACTCAGATCCTGTCGAGGTCAAGGGCAGAGTTAACCAGCCAAAATGTGACACGTATAGAGTGCTATTTAAATGCTATTACTGCTTATATAGCATTGCATAGGGCATGCTGAAAAACCACTGTTTGAAAGTTCCCTACCGGACCTGTTAATCAGGACACGCATGTTTTTCAACACACTTATATTCTTTGCAGAAAATATCGGACATTGCATAAAAATAGCAGGTCTCAGACAACTGAAAATTTTTATCAAGTAATAATGGAAAATGTTGACTGGGACATACTTTTGAGATAGATACCTCAAGTTACTTTCCATAATTTCAGTGCCTTATGGCCACTTCATGGAACAGTGTCACTTTTTGGATTATGCCTTCTTTTTCATTAAAAGGGAGCACTAGTGCATGGCTGCATTGGGAAGTTCAGGAGAATGAGGGATGCACAAATAGGCATGTTTTTACAAATCAAAATATTTAGGGCTTCCTTCTCAAGCTAACTTGTTTCTGCCAAGAAAATTGTATCCTAAAATGAGGGTAATGAAAAAGCAGAAATTAAACTGGTGAGCAGTGTGAATGGCTTTGGCTTCCGTCCCCATTTTAGGAGCTTTTTCATCTCTTTTTCTGTCTCCAAATGCATCATCATGACTTTTTTCTTTCTATGAGGGAACAGTACTGAAATCTTGGTGAGGAACAGCAGCCTCTCAGTCTGATGTGAGAGTAGTGACTGAAGAGTCAGTTTGATTTATCTTTTTGTTCTGACCGTGGTGTTTTATAATTTAAAATAACAAATACTAATAATTGTTTGTAGGCTTTGACCTTTAAGATATCTCAAATCACTCTATCAACAGTGGACATAAAAAAAGTGCACCAAGTGTCAAAACAAATTTTTAGTTCTAGTTACTGTCATTATTGATCAGTTACAGGGCTGTGAGTTGGCTTACCTCTGTTTCTTTTCTGTTGTAGACAACAGTTCCTGGGATAAGAAATAATGTGATATTACAACCCCTGCAATCGGATACGCCATATAAAATTACTGTCGTGGCTGTGTATGAAGATGGAGATGGTGGACAGCTGACTGGAAATGGCAGAACAGGTAATTAGTTTTAATATTGTATATTCTTTTTAAAATTTAAGACACACATTCCTTGAGCACTCCAACATTGTTAAGGTTTCATTATGTTGATCATGTCTTTGATGGGATGAATCCCTGACAGAGTTACAATGTGAGTTCCTAGAGGTTGAACAAGAGTCACTAGTCTAATTAAAGGGTTTTGCTTTCTCTTTAGTTGGCCTACTTCCTCCTCAAAATATGTACATAACTGATGAATGGTATACACGGTTCAGAGTTTCCTGGGATCCTTCACCATCCCCTGTTCTTGGCTATAAAATTGTGTACAAACCTGTGGGTAAGCAAGCCTGTTCATTCTGAGTATACGGCTTTCAGAATAGCCAGTGGCTAATAGATCAGAATAGGAATCGTATGTATCATGAAATATTTTTGTTAAAGAATTTATTTATTTTTTGTTTACTGATTTTGATGGAAGCTTAAGTCTTATTATCAATATTTTATATGAAGCGCAAACGATCAAATACAGTGTTTCATAGATTCAATTACAGAGACTGACTCGTATAGTTAAAATTTAATACATTGACTAGATAAAGTCCTGGACCAGAGTTGGTGTTCCTCTCTTCAGTACCTCTTTTCCTTCTGAGGATATGAACTGGTGTATGTGAGATGAGGATTGGATGGGTGTTTAGGTACTAATGTCCTTCAGAACGTTTGTTTTATGTGACAGTGAAACAATATACATACCTTTCTATAAGAATGTTTCTATATTCTAAATATTCTACGTTATTTCTATAATAAACGCAAATATTGCACAATACCTTGTAAAGCTATGTGTATGTTCTGTTTGCAACAGTTTAATATGCTAAAATTTAAGAAATTAGTATGTCTTGTTTTAGAAAAAAATAGATTAACACTTAATGACATGAAAAGATGGCACATGATTTTGTACGTCACCTAATCCTGAATCTTTCTCTCCTCTGCACTTCCTTAATGCTTCCTTTCAATTCAAGGTTCGAATGAGCCTATGGAGGTTTTTGTGGGGGAAGTGACTTCCTACACCTTGCATAATCTGTCTCCCAGTACGACTTATGATGTGAATGTTTATGCCCAGTATGATTCTGGAATGAGCATACCTTTGACAGATCAAGGCACTACCTGTAAGTCAAGATAATGTTGTTGTAGTCATGCTAGATACATATGCTGGTCTGAGATGATGTTGATTCAGAAAGGATTTTTACGGATGGTTTTTATAAAGTCTGAATATCCTGTCATGGAGAATACTATAATCTGTCCATGGTGTAGATCTTAAAGCCACTAAGCTTGGGAACAGTAATTGAAATATAGTTTTCAATAATGATTCGATGATAAAAAATTTTCTAGTCTGCTTCCTACAATTTTTTTTTCAGCTACCGTTGGAGTTAATCTTTAACTGTATCCAGGGTACTCCAGAATCTAACCATGCTAAGCAGGTCTATGCTTTTTGCTACTCTGCTTTCATCTCACAGGAATGTCCAGTGAGATAGAAGGAAGAGATGGAAGGAGATGATTTTGATGATGGCCTCAGCTAAGAAACTTCCAAAAATATCTTCAATTAAGATGAATCAAGCATCCTGAATTTTGCTGACTCAGTGCATTATTTTCATATATATGAGTCAAATTCAAATTTTTGTAAGTTTCTTATTTTATAGGGAGTGTAACTTCATGTGAAAACTCATTAAATGGGCTGTTACCCAATACAGGAAGGGTATCAGACTATGAGCCTCTGTAAATAGCTAGGCTGGGATCTCTAGAGCATAAGAGAAAAGGAAGAAATTTGACTAGAACTGCTCTTTCCTTCTGTGAGTATTTGAAAAAATGAAGTTCTGGACCAGCCCTGCTAATATAATTTTCATTTTGATGTGTTTCATCCATAACATAGTATTTTCCAGAGAAAAATTTATCTCTTTCTCTCTTCACAGTATATTTGAATGTCACTGACCTAACAACTTACAAAGTGGGTTGGGATACCTTCTGTATCCGGTGGTCACCTCATCGCTCAGCAACTTCCTACAGGCTGAAGCTAAACCCAGCTGATGGTAAGTGCATTTTATTTGTTTTGTTTTCTGGAAACATAGTTGTCTTATTTCAGTGACAGCACCACTTATTTGGGATGGTGGCAAGCACCCACCAGAAGCCATGATACATCTTGTTGAGCTTTAAGGCTCTGAACATAACCTCTCTTTCTGGAGTGGTGAAAGGCTGCAAAGACAGAGTGCTGCTTATTGTCCAGTTAACTTTTATTAGTGGGAATCTGCTAGTGACCTGGATTTCACATGTACACTGCCATGTTACTCTCTAGTATGCTCCAGGGTGCATAATTACCACATAATCTGTATCTAGAAAAGCTTTTGTGGGACAAGAATACGACTACTGTCCCATCCACTCCAACCTCCTCTCAAGAAGTCTCTCATTTCTACACTTATTTGTACACATACTAAAAGGGAGACAGTGGGTTCTAACTTTACTTCCATTGGGCTTTTTTCAACAGGTTCCAGAGGACAGGAAATCACCATACGTGGATCAGAAACAAGCCATTGTTTCACTGGCCTCTCACCGGACACAGAATACAATGCTACTGTCTTTGTTCAGACCCCTAACCTGGAGGGACCTCCAGTCTCTATAAGGGAGCATACAGGTAGGGAACAGACAGTGTGAACCTTCAGTTTTGGCTATAGAAGGTTTCTTGTTTCAGCTGTTGAACTTATCTTGCTCCTAAATGGCTTTCAATGCCTCTTTTAAGTGATCTTTCCTCTTTCTCTCAATGTAATGTCAACTGGAGTTTATGAGGGAAAAAAAATCTTCAAACCAAGTATTTCCTTGGATGAAAAACAAATGCATTATCAGCCTGCAGTGTTACTCAGCTCGTGTGAAAGTGTTCCTGTTATAATGAAATCGTGTAACTTTGTTTTAACAATATCTATAATCTCATTACTCTTGTAACACAAGAAATTTTGCATTGTCAATTATACATTGTTTAGGTTAGTGAGAAAAGACTAGAATTTTTCTGTGCGGTAATATAATACATAATCTAGAGTTTTTCCTTGAATGAAATAACTTATATGAAGTTAAAAAGTTATTATTTCATTTCAGTCCTCAAACCTACAGAGGCACCAACTCCACCACCTACACCTCCTCCACCTCCCACGATCCCTCCAGCTCGGGATGGTATGTTTATTTGTAGAATTATTCAGTATTTTTATGTAGTTGCTGCACTCCTTCACAGTTTAGTTCTATTTTTCGTAAATTAAATAAATTTAAAACTAGCACAATGTTTTAGACAAATGAAGTCTGAGACCAGTTTCCTAATGACATCCATTTGCTCTTGAGCATTACTAGACTTCAGCATTTCCTGGTTTAGAACAACAAAGTGCATACATTTGGGGAAAAAATTCATGATATTCTATAGCTCTACAGCAAGTCTGTTAGTCTGCCTTCCCTCAGCAGACAGTTTATGCTATATGGTAGCTGCTCAGAAAAAAGTAATTTACATTTGATTCTTGAACTCTTCCTCATTTCTTTGAAAATTTTTGATAAGTGTTTTTGTGTTGAGCATTAGCCTTCTGCCAGGTTGACTGCGCGGTGAAATAGGTTTGCCAAATATTCGTCATTCTTGAATTTTCAAATTTTGCAGCAATGCTCTTTATTTCACAGTGGTATGATTGGTGTGGTTTAAGTGTTCTTTTTCTTGGTCTTTCAGTATGCAGAGGTGCCAAAGCAGACATAGTATTCTTGACTGATGCTTCCTGGAGTATTGGTGATGATAACTTCAACAAAGTAGTGAAATTTGTTTTTAATACAGTAGGAGCCTTTGACTTGATTAATCCTGCTGGAATCCAGGTAGGTTTCTTGTTTCCTTTGGGTACATGTTGGAGGGAAACTGAAGATGAAGCTGAATTACTAAAGTTACATATGACTTTTCCTTCCTTTTAGAATGCTGTCATTTTTTTAATATCATATTGTTGTACAATGCATGTCTATGTGTGTGCCTGTATAATTATCGATGAAATGTAGTGGTCATTTTTTTAAATACAAAGGGAATCCAGTCTGTTCTGAGAGGTTTCTATTCTGAGAGGTTACTATTCTGAAAGACAGAAGTTGTAGTGTGTGGGAATCTTCCAGGCAGAGACACTGGGGTGAGGTATGGTCAACGTATGGTTAATTTTATAGTTTTGTTTATGACATCAACAACAGACACACTGCCTAGCAGTCAGTAGTCAGAATCCCTTGGAGAGGGGCACCTGCAGAAGTCTCTTCATCACATCCTAAAGACAGATAACATGGGTCCACTCCCCAGTGAGCATAGTGAAAGTATGGAAAGGTGAAAAGTCAGTCCTGTTAGTGAATTAATGTGTCTCTAAATAATAAAACGTGGTAGCTAGTGAGGAATACACTTTCAGGATTTACAAGTTGATCATGGTTACATCAAAGACATTTCCTGTCAGGCTTTTTGCTGTAAGCTTTGCACCGTTACTGGTTTTCTTCAGCTTATGGGAAGCTGGATGGGACCCCTGCCTGGGTCCCTGTAACCATCTCTCTCTCACTAGATGGAGTGAATAACATGAGATGTGATAGAGTTTCTTCCAAGGTATCTCTGGAGCACTGTAATGACCTGCAAGTACAATGCCTTTTCCTTGGCTAGAAGGCTGAAGGTGTTTGTGGTTTTTTTTTCCTGTGGGATATTGTGGGAGTGATTTTCCCCAGTAACTATAAAAACTCTTTGCATTGCTCATGAGCTGCCTTTCATCCTCTGGGCATATTTGTAGGTCTTTGATTCCCTGTCTTTAACTCTCTAGACATTTTTAAGGAAAACATACCCCTTATGCTCTGCTTTGTCTCAGACATTCTTTATCCGTCTTAGCTCTAATCTAGATCAGGTAGTTTTCTTTTCCATTTTTTTGTTATTAAATATTTTTTTTTCCTGTGAATATGTATGGGTCCTGGCCTAGAGATAGGGAAGGCCTCATATAGGTGACAGAGACATGTAAATGCTAATGTTTAATAAAATATTTAAGACACATACCTCTTGAGATAGTTACAGCAATCACAGGTTTTGAATTGGATATTAGATATTTAAAAAGGGGACTTTACTTCAATAAATGTGAATATATACATACAGAGAGATGTCTATTCAGCTTCAAAATAGTATAATATAATATTGCAATTTTACAGAATATTAAAAGGAGCAAAATAATAAATAGATATAATACTGAAAGATTATTTCATAGTAAACGTTCTGTGATTGTATTTCAGTATTTAAAGCAAGAGTGTACACAATTCTGTGTATATCCAACTTTATTGATATTCTGTTGCCAAGTTCTTTTTGTATTTCCTAACAAAACCTGGAAGAGGTTTTGTACATACTGTGTATCTGCTCAGAAGCAGAGAATAGGCACTACATACACATCATAGTAACAGCAATAATTTAATCATACTTATTTAAGATCACATCACATTTCGTATGCAAAAGAGAGAAAGAAAAAAGTGTTGTGTGCACACTGCTGTGATGATATCTGTGTGTGTAAAAATATATGTGTGTGCATGATCATACATAGATGGAAAAGATTTTTCAGTTATTTAATGCTTACTAGTTTACCACAATATGCATTTCAATGGAGAGAGTTGTTCTGAATGTGGAGGTGTGAGACTGAACACTGTGATGTATTCCATTTCAGGTTTCATTTGTGCAGTACAGTGATGAGGCAAAATCTGAATTTAAACTCAACACATTTGATGACAAAGCCCAGGCCCTGGGAGCTCTTCAAAATGTTCAGTACAGAGGAGGAAACACAAGGACAGGTAATTCTGAGCAGTAATTCTATTTCTTTAAGTTAAATTTTTTTCAGGAACTGCCTCATTATCCTAGTATCACATGGCTGAAGAATTAGGGTTTTACGTTTTTCTGTGTTAGCTGTGTGGGTGTTGCCCTTTCAGAGTAAAGTGAGAGATTTCTTCTCTTCTTGGTAGTATGGTTGACTCCTTGTTCATTGCGCACTTTGCAGGCAAAGCCCTAACATTTATCAAAGAAAAGGTTTTGACCTGGGAGAGCGGCATGAGGCGAGGTGTTCCCAAGGTACTCGTTGTTGTCACAGACGGTCGGTCTCAGGATGAGGTGAGGAAGGCAGCCACGGTCATACAGCACTCTGGTAAGCCATTCATGGTACCTGGCTGTTTCCTTTCCTTATGTGGGAAGCAATGCAGTTAGAAGTGGTGCTGCAGTTATCTGAGAATCCTTTGCTCATCATTTACGGACGCAGAAATGTATTCTGGGTATTTGGGAAAAACTCAAAACTATTTAAAGAAGTTAGACTTTCTGGTCCAAACTTTCTTTTTCTTTCTCTAGCCTTCTCTCTGGGAAAGAATGTGGCTTCCCAAGGCTTTCAAATAATTCCTCGTGTCATTTCATGACATGACTTTTGGCTACTTCTTTCTCTGCCTGCTGTGTGGACCCCAGGGGTCACTGTGAGGTGTACTCCATTCTAGTGCTTTTGGTGTAATGGGCCTGGATTGTGAGCTTTATGTTGTACCTGGTATAAACCAGTGGATCTACAGCTAAAGTAACTGAACTGACTTCTCCATTGCCTTTTGAGCTGAAAAGTTTTGCATTTCCTCTTTAGATTTGCTGAATGTGGCTTATGTGAGCCCAACAGCCTAGTCCTGTCCCTGTATCCAGCAGTTTTGCATTTCCGTGCGTAAACCGCCTGCAGTCCTGTTCCCTGATTACGGAGATGATGTACTTCCTTATGGAAATCAGTGGCATGTAAACCACACGTTGGAATCTTCTCTGCCTCTGTCATCCTGAAGGAATTGACTCTGTCTAGTGGTTTCTAAAGATGTTTGGCTACTCTATTCACACTAATCTCCACGGTATCCTTGAATAATCAGTTTCAGTGCTTAACTACCCTAACAGTTGCAAGGCTTTGCCTCACGTTTCAACTGGTTCTTCAAGTCAATGAAACTATTGTCTTCTTTTCATTAACCTGGTTAACCTAGGAGAGCAGTTGATCGCTGTCCACTCTAATGGGCCTTCATTTTTAAAGCCTGTTGTCATTTCCTCTTTCTCTCTTTTTTTCTAGACTAAACAAACCCATTTCCTTCAACCTCCTGTTGGTCATATTTTCCAAACCTCTTATCTTTTTTGCTCTCCTCTCTACTTGCTTTGGTTTCTTTGCGTCTTAAGTGTTGTGCTCAAAGCTGGACAGAGTATTTCAGCTAAACCTCCACCACAATTGGCTACAGAGGAATAATTTTATTTTTTTTTAAATTAAATGTGTAAATAAAGCTAACTTTATAATTTGCAATTAATGTGAATTCTGCTTTCAGCCTCCAGCCAGCATTTCCAATGTCTGTGCAGTCAATGAAATGTTGTGGGGAATATTTTTCTATATGGTGCTGACTTGTGCAGTGACTTTTTTTCTTCCTTTTTTCTTATATGGCAAAGAGAGGTCAAATTGTCACATGGAGGCTTAGGAGATAGAAGGGAAAGAAAGAAATGAGTCAGAGGCAGAATCCTGTAAAGGCTAGTAGATAGCAGGAAACAAAAACTTGAAATAGAAGGCAAGGAGATGCTAATCTAAGGATTTGAAGAGGAAAATCACCCTGACGAAGAAGGAGATTATGCCGTTACACCTGGTGATATGATTAAATTCTAGGGTCTGTGTTCTTGTCATTTGACTTAAGCCATCCAACAACTAAATATCTAGTCTAAGGTCATCATGTAGGGTTCTTTTGTGATGAGGGAAGAGAGCAACAGGTAGGCATCTACAGACCATGGCTTCTACTATCTTGAAGTTAACATCTCAGGGAGGTGAGATTAATTGTATTCTGAATCTGCCCATGTCTGTCTCTTGATTATAGAGGAAGACTAGACAACTACCTTAGACTTGTTGCTAACTTGGAAAGTAAAAATTTGTGAGATGAATACCACCCTAAGAAAGTGAAAGAGAAACTGAGAAGAGTGAAATGCAGGGGATGGCAACAGATAGACAACTGGGTAACTAGTATCCTGCACAGAGATTTTGGACAAGGACAGTTTGAAGATCCTGTAGAGTTGAGAGGATTGTACATTTTTGTATGAAAGACTGAGGGGAGTACGTAGCCAAGGCTGTGTGAGATTGGATAATGCCCAACAAAACTCAGTGAAGGAAGGAGGAGAAAGTTTTGAAAGAAAGATGCAAAAATTAGTTTAATCCCTCCTGAGCTTTGATAGGGTGAAAAGATGTCCAGAATGTATGCTCATACCGAAGGCCGGATAAAAGGCTAGGTAGAGCCTGAGAAATCGGTGATAGGGACTGCTTGTGAAATATTGACTGGAAAAATGGTAATGTCTGTTTACTACATGTCACGTAACAAGTGTTGTTTTTACAGGCTTCAGTATCTTTGTGGTTGGTGTGGCTGATGTGGATTACAATGAGCTGGCCAAGATTGCCAGCAAGCCTAGTGAGCGTCATGTATTTATTGTTGATGACTTTGATGCCTTTGAAAAGATTCAAGATAACCTCGTCACCTTTGTGTGTGAGACAGCTACCTCAAGTGAGTAGAAGACATCGTTTCTGCCCTTTTCCCAAATGAATGCATTTGCTTACATACTGCTACAGTTGCTATCCCCTGTAAGGTACATCCAAATAAGTGTTCATATATTAAAGTTAGGTTTCATAATAACTGGACATAGTTTAAGGGAGCAAGTTACTTTTTTAAAATTTTGAAGAAGGTATTATATTTTATGTGACTTTATCTCACATTTCGAAAGTACTCATATTACAGAAAGAGAGTGAGAACTACTGCTTTGTAAGAAGAGGAAGAATGATGCCTGATGTAAACTGGGAGGCACAATGGGTCTCATATTTACCACTGGCCCAAGGGTGCTAAAGAGGTGCAGCTACAGTGTGTGACGCTGTTTGAAAGTTATCTACATCAAGTTCAGCTGTTTACTCAAATGAAATCCTTCTATGGCAAAACTGAGAAATTCTCAGGCCTGTCATGTGCAACTGTGGGCTCTTTAGCTGCCTCATCGGCTGGCTTCTGAGGAGCCATATAAATCTGCAATTTTTCCTTGTGAATCCGACAGCTACTATGCAGCCTGACTCATGCTTTAAATATCAATGGAAAGACTGTGTCATTGTGGTCCTTTCTTCCTTTGAATTAGACTCTTAAAATATTTGGGTGGTTCATTTGTTATTCCATGTAATTTTTCACAGTAGAAATATCCTACTAAAAGAAACAAGTAAAGTTTTAAACAGTAGATCTATCACAGAGCAGAACACAGCACGACAGATGTAACAAAAGTTGGCTGATAATTAATAATAACACAGACTTTTTGGTCATAAAACTTTCTGAAGTATATATATATGTTCATATCCTGTTAGGTTTTGTAATTTTGAATTATATGTTTTGTGTTTTTCAGCTTGTCCTCTTATTTACTTGGAGGGGTACACTTCACCTGGTAAGTAGCTGTCTAATATTTTGGCATGGGTTCATTTGTGTCTGTCATAGCTCTACAGTGTTTTTATTTTTTGTTTTCTCTCTGGATTTAAAGGTTTCAAGATGCTGGAATCATATAATCTAACCGAGAAGCATTTTGCTTCTGTACAAGGTGTATCACTGGAATCAGGGTCTTTCCCAAGCTATGTAGCATATAGACTCCACAAAAATGCCTTTGTCAGCCAGCCAATACGGTAAGTAAACCTGAAAGACTCGTATTTAGGGCAAGCAGGTGAGGACAGATTAATAGAGGGTATAGATGACAACATGAGTATCTTATGGAGGGTGTATTCATTTGATATTCTTTTTACTGATCTCCAAAAAATATACTCCAAAGAACACCTATTATTGTTTTCATTAAATACTACTTCATTTCTTCTGTTGCAATCTGTTCACTGTTAATCCAGTTACTCATTGTTCTTTTTTGGAGATTATGCTGCTTAAGCGTTTGGGTTGCATATAATTCACAGTTTGTACTTGGGCAGTTGAACAACAGCCTCTTTGGTACACCAAGCTCCACATTGCCAGAGGGAAGTGGTTTCTGTACGTGGGGATAAGCTCCACTTTTCCCAGGGGCATCGTTTATACTGCAGTAGGCAGCACATTGATGCCAGTGAGTTAGGGTGGTTTCTCCTCTGCTTGAGTTGCTGCGTTTGGCAAATGGAACAGAGTTTCCATGGGCCTGTGGTCTTACAGCTTGATTATGGAGGGGTCATTCTTTCCAAGGTTTTTTCATTGAAATAAAAAAGACTGAGTTAGCAGTTAGTTTTTCTAAGAGGAGAACAATACCTCTCTTTTTCTTTTTGCATTTGTTGTTCCTCTGCCCTCTATTTAAGTAAGTTTCAAAAAAGTCATTCCAAGTCAGAGGAGGTGCCTAAAGATAGCCCATTGTTCCTATTAAATTTAAGGAAATTTAATCTTTTCATGCAAACATTTGAAATATTCTGCAGTCCTGCCAGACTGGGTAAAGATCAGATCACAGGCACAGGAGCTGAGGTGTATGAAGGAATTATTTATTTTTGCCAATCCTCTCAGCTCTCAACTTTTAAAGTGGCAGACTTAAGGGCTTTTTGAGTTCATTGATGGGCCATTGTAGCCATGGGTGTGATAGATTTCTGACAGCCTGGATTTTCATGATCTAGAGAAGTACAGATAGTCCCAGTCCCTGGGATCCTGTTTGGAAACCCTTACATTCAGAATGAACTTGCATTTGGCGGGGTAAGATGATAAAAAGAGAGACTTCCTATTTATTGCTCTCTTTTTTGGAATGTTGTGATACATAGTCTGCTCTCTGCTCTAAGAGGTGGAGTAGACTTGCCAGAGTATTCTAGGCACTTATTGTTAGTGAGAAACCAGAAAATAAAACTCACAATAGACTGAGTGACCAGTCTGTATCAGAGATAACTTGGTGTCTGAGTTATAGTGTTGCTATGTCTACTTTACTGTTTTCTTTCTTGCACTGTGCTGTGTGGCATTGTTGGCTTTGTTATGGTGTTATAGCTGTATGGGTACATATGACCCTATGATTCTATAAGGCCAAACCCCCTTCTCAGTTCCATTATGATGGTTAAGGGGAAGCAGAAGCTACCTCTTTTGTTACACATCGCTTCCTCTCTTCCCCTTCAGAAAGTGCTGGAGGCCATTGAATGCATGTTTTTATTTACTTTTGGCTTTCTGTTTTTTTTAAATGTCTGACAATCTGAACATCACAAATCTAAACAACCACTGATGAATGAGGTAGAGCCCATATCCACCACCGGTTGCAGGGAATACATTAAATGAATCCTTCCTTGCTGCCCTTCAGGCACAGATACAGTTAAGTGCTGTTTTCTGTTGCCTGTCTGAAACAGGCCAGATGAAAGAAGAATAAAGCTACAGTCCTGTTTTCTGCACTTATCATCAAGGAATCTAAGATATGTGTAGTTTATGCAGAACCTTGCCACAGGAATATAGCTACAAGAGTTCTTGGTTATATTGTGGCTTCCTCTGTAACCATGGTGCCTGGACCAACTGAAGACAGGCTGTGAGTTCATCGTGACAATCACACAGTGATTGTTATCACCAAAGTCTTTTCTATTTGACAGAGTAGTGAATATGCTCAGTTCCCTTAAACACTGTGATTTTCCTGTTACTATCATGTCTTTTCTTTAAAAAAGAGAGAATGATGATGATGTTATTTTCCTCATGTGTTTCCATGTGAACAAACGTTTTCATATTGTCCTAACAGGGAGATTCACCCGGAGGGATTGCCGCAGGCATACACTATCATTCTGTTATTCCGTCTTCTGCCGGAATCCCCCAATGAGCCTTTTGCAATTTGGCAGATTACAGACAGAGATTACAAACCACAAGTTGGAGTTGTGCTTGATCGTAAGGATGATTTTGCTTATTGTGCAGAGAATTTATATATTACATTACTTTGCATGCATCCTTCCCAAATACTTCCAAAACCAAAGCATTCTTATGTGGTAAAAGGATTATGTATTTTTAGTTTTAATTTTTTTTTTTTTTTACTTTGTACATAATTTTTTTTTAAACTAAGCTATGTTTCAGATTTGGTCTTACTTCTAAAACCAAAGGAATATCTATCTATGTGCTATGGGTCAGTAAGACCATCTATAATTTGTGTTTACCCATTCGAGTGGCATACTACATTTTATCCGTAAGCGTATTGTAGGATGGTGGTTTCAGTAGTGCACATAAAATGAAATGTATTATTTTGATTTATTGCAGCTGCCAGCAAAGTGCTGTCATTCTTTAACAAGGACACAAGGGGAGAGGTTCAAACTGTAACTTTTGATAATGATGAAGTAAAGAAAATCTTTTACGGAAGCTTCCACAAGGTAAAGGATTGAAATTGTGAATGTTGCTTTCCAAAGTGCTGCTCTTTGAAATGAAAGGCAAACAAGCAGAAATCCCTGTCAGTTTTATCCAGTATTTATATGGTACTGTAAGTTGACATAGGAACTTACAGATTGTATAAAACAAAATCTCTGAAGGTATAGCAAAATTGTGTCCAAAACACAATTTAATAAGTGTTTTCCTGCTGTATCAAGCACCTATGTTTAGGACAAGAACGTGAGCTGCAATTGCAGCATTTTTGGCAACTGCAATTTGCATTCTCATGTTTCTGTTTATCTCCCTTCCGTTCAGTTTAGTTCTCTTCTGCTGACTAAGTCTAACATTTGTTTCCTTTCTGATACCCTCTCCTGCGCAACCAGTCACTGCCAGCATCCCTGTGAGGATACAGATAAGAGGTTCTCTCTGGCAGCTTGCTGATACTGAGGCCACATTGCCAACGATCTGTGCCAGGCTGACGGCGGGGAAGGCTAGCTGGGGCCAGCGTTATGTCTGTGACTTCATCTCTTTAAAACAGGGATGACTACAGGAATCACCCAGTGCTATGAAAGCTGTTGGTGTCCTCCAAATTGGGCAGAGGATAATTTCCCATACTGCTTCTATGTCATGTCCAGTTATTTTGGTGTTTATAAATTTTAGTGGCTAATTGTTGTTGCGTATATGAGGAGATGTTTATGTCACTGGCTTTGTGACTGATTCACAGCTTGGTTCACACCTGCATTAGTCAGCCTCTGTTCTGTCCCTGACATTGGGCTTTTTGCCTTTCTTTTTCTGATAGCTCAGTAGTACGAGAGAATTTTAAGGAAATGTGTTAATCTACTGGAGTGAGAAAAACTGTCAGTACAGGACAGGATAGATATTATTTTGGTGTAAAAGCAGAGTCACCACCAAGAAGTGCTGTTAAAGCACAGAACAGCATGCAGCATGCCTCGTTTTCCATATCAGTGTGAGAGCTGAGACTTCCCTTCTCCATGCCCGTGGGGTGAAGCTCTCTACGTGCTGTGCTGCCAGCAGTCTGTTTCAGGTGTCTGCTGCTAATTTAATTAACGTTCAAAGTCATATTTTTCCTTGCAGTTCCTCTGACGGTGATAGCACTGAGCAGAACTCTCTTGACAGCACTTACTGTGAATCTCTGCCAATTGATCCGAGCAAATGGGGAAAACCCTGCAGCCCCAGGCTATGCAGAACTGTGTATTATGCTCACCAGTGAAAAACAATTACAGGAGAAATCAAAATCCATCGTTTTCTATTCTTTTAATAGTTAAATACACTCATACCTATGAACAGGAAGCAATTCTGGGATTCCAAATGACCTACAGGAGTAACAGCCATTTGCAAATTATCTTAAAGCTCTGGAACTATGAGTTCTTGCTTATGAGAGTATTTCTTAAGCAAAAAATGGGCCATGTGTCAGTTATTTAGTGCAGTGTCTCATTCCCCTTCTTTTTCTGAGAAAGGAAGCAGAAGTTCAGATTTTTGATAGTATTTAATCTAGCTGGAGTAGCCTTGATTTGAAGAACTGTACTTGGGATTTTCCACCACGTCACTGAGCTGGTTCCTTTGGGCTCTCTCCAGGATTATCCCTGAGATTGCTGTATGAGTCAGGTGGGTAATGATAGCATCTTGGGGTTCCCCCGCTCATGTGCTGGGAAAGCCTCACGTTATCAGCCGTGCTGATTAGCTCCTACAAAAGGATAGAAGTAGTTTCAGCTGGATGAAGGAAGGAAAGTAGAGATTAACACATTTCAGAAGGTACTTCTGCAATTTCTCTTGCTCTCCAGTTTCAAAGAAACAACAAATCTTTAGAACGCAAGAAGATGTTTTCCAAAATATCGAACATTTTTGTGGTTTTCACTCGATGACTTGCTGGCTCATCCAGTGAAGCACAGTTAACTACACCTAACCGTACAGGGAATTTACTTTGGCACACTTGACTGCTGTGCGTAGCAGAGCTATGGTGAAAGCTGTTAAATCTGGCAAGTCCCATAGGAAAAATTCTGACTGACTGAGACAGTCATTAAATTTATAACTGAATGTTTTGGAGAGACAGACGACTTTACTTTCTTATTCTTACCATGCTCGGCTTGCTTTTAGATTGCAGTTCTGCAGTAGTTACCCACAGAAAATTTGATGATGGGTGTATGTCTTTGTGCTGATGTACATATGGGATAAGAGTCTGCTTAGCTTATTGATGTGGATCATTCAGTGGTGGATCAGACTTTATCTTAGAAGGGTCCAGAGAGAAAGGTTAAAGTATGTTTTCTCTCTTAAAACCTCAGTACCTTCTGGCACTGGAAATGGCCAAAAGTGGTGCTTTATGTTGGTGTGTTAGAAACTGAAGAGAATGTTTCTGTTAAGTTTTTGTTAACAGAACAATTTAACTAGTTTTTGTTGAAAATAAAGTGTAGCAGGATTGAATACAGAGATGATTTATTTACTGTAAATGCTAAATGCGTACTTCTGTTAGATTTATGCTTGGGCCAGGAGATTCAGGCTGGAATTCAGAGGTGGCATGAAACCAGCAGTGAGCTGAGTCAATGCCTGGAAGGAGCCCTGCTTGTTTCTGACTGCTGAGGTCGCTGCTTCTTTGGATGGACAGTAGACAGACAGACAGACGATGCTCAGCGGTCATTGCTGTTTGAACATTTTCAAACTGGTGATCCCATTCAGCATTCTAATGTATATTTGCCTCTCCTAAGTTTTGTGTATAAATGAAAATGCAGCAGTATGCATTCACTGTGCAGATGTCATTTGCTTTATTTAGTGACAAATACTGACATTCTAGTAGAAGGACTTGCACACGTTGGGTACCTTTCAGAATTAGTGACATCGGTGATGAGTTTAAACTGTTTGATGCATTAGTTAACCTGTAAAATTTAGTCATATAATAAAATGACTGAGATATATTGATCTATAAATTGTAATGAATTTAAAGTTTTTGGCATGGTCCATATTTTATTTTGTGGAGAGTTTGGTATGTAATACCAAAGTGTACTTTGGACATGCTCAGTTATCTTAGCACTATTTTTTAATTTGGTCAATGAACAATGTTAGGAATGTTAATTAAAAAACCACTTTTATACACAGCACTGAAAATTGAACTGGGATGCCAACTGAATTTCAGATAACAAAAAATTAGGGCAGTTTCAAAAGTCTTAATTCCAATTATATAAAGCATAAGCACATAATGTTTAAAAAGTTTTAGATAAGCTATGCTGATGCCTTGGATACAAGTCCACATGGGAAAATATTTAATATAGAAAAAAATGAAAAGAATGATCAGGAGATTGTTCAGGCACTTGTTGACTCAGAACATTTAAGGGAATCTCTGTTTCAACTTCATGCCATTTTTTTAAAGTGGTCATCAAATAGCAATATATTTCTCAAGAGTTATGTACTGGGATAACAGAAACTTTAACATGTAAATACCTAATTCAAGGATTCTTTACTGATGATCTTACCATGTTGATATTTTCACAATTACATAGATGCTTTAATGTTTTATATAAAATATATGCCATATGTAAGGTATATAAAGCCACGGAAACCTTTCTGTTGCCTGAAGATGTTTTTCTGTCAGCTGCATATTACATTTACTAACATGTCAGACCCATGTTTCTTTCTTGGAGACTCCTGAATGTCTTATGTTTTCACAGATATGCAGGAAACTCACTTGCATAACATTCACCATAGGTACTATAAATTTTTGGAACGGTAACCTTTGCTTCTGTTTTGTTTGTTCTTCTGTTTAAGGTTTACTGTGTTTTCTCCAAACACTTCATTCTCCTCTGGTAAACTTACTCTCCCTTTGGAACTGTCATTCCTTTCTCCATCCTAAGTTTCCCTTATTTCCAATAATTAATCTCTTCCTCTTCTTCCCTCTTTCCCCTTATATTGACATGTGTTTTTGTAGCCAAATTTCTCTCATGGAAATTTCTCTCTTGCATCTTCTGTTATTTTGCCTTTTTCTGGGCAGGCTTCTCTGCACACTTCCTGCATCTCAATGCAACTAATGCCTCTGGCTGAGTCATCAGTGGAAACTGAACCTTGACTCTTTGGATCTGGAACAATCTGCTCTCTGAACTGGAGACAGAGTGTATAGCCAGTGGGCAGTCAGAGACTCAGAAACCCCTTGTTTGGTCCCAGCCATCAGAGGAGGACAAGAAGAGCTTATATTCACTTCCTCTCAATAATTTGTCTTATTTTTTAACTTTTATGCCATCTTAAAGCAATTTTCAGGCAAGCTTTTAAAAACGGATTATTGTAGTTCAACCAACCAATTAATTAGTACTTAGTTGTGCCCTTATTGACCTTCAGCACTAATGTCAGAGACTGTCCTTGAGTTTGACTTTTTCCAACAGTTGAAAGTAAAAGTAAAAGCAGGACTACTAGGAAGAAAGTTCAAAACAGTATTACCTAAACAGTGAGATACTGTTAAAGTGTTAAAGTAAATATGCCTATGTGCCTTTTCTAAACTTTGCATTGAACTTTTTTTCAGGTCCATATAGTTGTAACTTCATCAAGTGTTAAGATTTACATTGACTGCAGTGAAATACTGGAAAAACCAATTAAGGAGGCTGGGAACATCACAACTGATGGCTATGAAATACTTGGGAAACTTCTGAAAGGCGATCGGAGATCAGCAACAGTAAGCAACAAACGTTAATCCATTCATTAATGCAAGCCCTTGCAAATTTCTATGGAAAGAGGTTGGAGATTAAGGATTGCTAAGAAACCTGTATTGCACTCAGAGCTTTCAGGTGTCTGTACTGCAAGACCCCATATAGTTAACTGAGAAGTTTTGTCTTGACAGCTTTTCATTCTAGCAGAATTGCAAGAACAAAAATCTAATAGCTGAAAGTTGCAGTCAGGTAAATTCAAGCAAGACTGGACATGTTTGCCTTCTAATAGGGAGAGCAGTTAGTCACTGGAACCATTTGCTCTGGATTCTCTGTCATTGGAAATCTTTAAATGAAGATTTTTTTTGTTGTTTTTTCTAAAAGACATACTCTAATGAAGAGGCTTTAATTCTGGCAAGTCCTATGGTCTCTCTTGTACTGGGTGGTCAGAGTGATGCCCACTGGCTTTATGATCTATAAACCCATAATGAAAAAGTGGCTGCTGCTATGAAGAGCACAGCAATTATCATGATGGACCAACTTTACCTAATACGTAATCAATGCTGTTACCTAGGCTTCATATTAGAAGATTTAAGTCTGCAGTCTGACCCATATGTGCAAACCCTAAGACCTGAAGAAGGTTCTTGGTGCTCACCACCAAATATTGGATTGTATGTATCATAGCTCTTGAGGTGACTGCTTTTACACACAGTCCACCTGAGGTCCTCACTTCAGCCTTTCTGCAGAACCTTTCCTCACTAAAGGCGGTGGAAAGTTCCATGCGTGAATGTGAATTAATGTATGACCCAAGATCTGCAGTCCTTAGAGCTGGTCCAGAAGTTTTTCAGTCAGATTTCATGTTGGAGCGCACAGGCACTCAGATAATGTAGAAGTTCATTGGTGTTACTAATAAAGTATTGCAAAATATTTCTTGAGTCCCTTTCTTTGGTTACCTCTTGCCCCACGATAGGACCAAGCATCAGTGTTTTAAGTTCTTGTAGCCTTATGTAGGCTTGATTTAAAATTTTGTATTGTCTTAAAATAATTTTTCTGTCAGTATCAAAGAAGTGAAAGTCTGAATGATGTACATTAGAAATAAATTGTTTGAGGAGTCATTTTTAATGGTAATGCTACTAGATTTCATAAATAATGTGTCTAGTATCTTTCAAGAGTCTTCTTTTCTTTCACAGTTAGAAATCCAGAATTTTGACATTGTGTGCAGTCCAGTCTGGACTAGCAGAGACAGATGCTGTGATCTTCCTTCTATGGTAAGGATAAATGAACCAGAGGCTATTCAGAAAGCCGTTATTCATATCAAATTTAACAATATCAATATTAGCCTGGTATTATGCTGAAAACACATCTAAATCACAGTTGTCAGAAGAGCCAGTGAGCACCGCTGCATTTCAAAGAAGTTTTGTGTGTCAGGGAGAAAGACTGTAATGCAAGTTGAATTGAGTCCCTTAGGAATGGTGGAAAAAACTTCAGTTATATTTTGTATTTCAGTGGTATTTAAGATCCTAGGTATTATCAATGGAATAACTATATTATTTATTTGATTTAATCTGTTCTTAGACTTGCATTCAAAAAGTAACTAGTTTATTTTTTGTCAGTGCAAGCTGATTGTCTAATCAGTATAAACATGAGAACAGCAGAAATTGCATGTGGATTTGATTTTGCCGGTGCCTCTGTTGTTACTCTCTTGTATAGCTCACAGATAAAATTTGCTAAAAATATGAAAGGTCCTGTAGAAACATTTGGAAACCACTGTTTAGCTGCGAGTTTTACTTGTACTTGAAAACAGGATAGTAGAGAATCTTGATGTTATTGCTGTAGAAAAGTGTGCTGCCACCAAGCACTTTTCTTTAGAAGGACAGTAATAGTTGTGATTGAATTTTCAGAGAGATGAAGCAAAATGCCCAGCTCTTCCAAACGCTTGTACCTGTACTCAAGACAGCGTGGGACCTCCAGGACCCCCTGGACCAGCCGTAAGGAACTGTTCGCAATAGACAGATTTTCTGATTTTTAAATTTATGGAAGTAGTTGTGCATTGGTTGGTGGCTTTGTGAAACAAAGGGCAGTCAGAAAGAGAGTTTCTGTCAGCATGTCCATAACATTGTGATAATCTGTTTCCCTTTCATCTTAGTTTAAAATACAGTTAGGCAGCTCCTATCACCTCTACTTGTTTAGATAATCATCCTTTTCCCGTATTTCCAAAGTGATCCCTGTGAACAGCTCCTCATTGTTTGAGAAGTTGAAAGGATTTGGCCCAATCTCAGTTGTCTTGCACTTCATATACAAGATATTTTTAATGGACTATGCAGCTATTTTTCCTAAATAGAGTCAGGATTTCACTCCAATGAAAGATTCTTTACTCTGTCAGTGAAACAAATTAGTTACTCTCTTTTTTTTTTTTTTTTTTATGTGGAGGGATAATAATCTATGGAATGGATATTCTCCTACCAATTGCTTTTGATATAAGGGAGTGACACTCAGCCCAGTATAGCTACTCGAAGCTATCAGAAATGCTGCATGAGGAATATGAAGCCCAGTTAAGTTGTCCGGCAGTCTGCTAGAGAGGTATCCAGAGATTTTGATTAGTATAAGTTGAAGAAGTTTGTATTTGAAGAAACAAAAATGACAGTGATTTTTCATGGGCTGAATTGGCAAGGCTGAAGATGATGCGGTTTACCTGAGTTTCTGAAACATCCTTTATTCCAGTACTCTTTTTAGCAGTGTGATCTATACATTTCAAAACTTTGGACTTTCACATGAGAATTTGGTAAAAAGGATTAATAATGCACACCAGTATGATGTACCCTTGCTTTCCCTGTATTCAATTTAGGGTGGCCCAGGTGCAAAAGGTCCCAGAGGCGAAAGGGGGTTGACTGGATCGTCTGTAAGTATCTTTCTGGAATGCATCCGTAATGTTGCTACATGCTTACCTGTATGAAAAATTTGTATGCTTAGTTCTATGCTGAGGTAAGAATGGAGATGAAAAATTCAACTGGAAATGTGTCTGTATGTTATTTATGTGCAGCCTACCTTTTTGAGATTATATATGCACAGTTTACATATACATGTAGCCTCAAAGGCGTTGACTACACATCAGGAAACTAGAGGATGGGCATCAGGGTGTTCATACACACTCTGCAGCATTGTTGTCCTTTCCTCTGTACAGAGGAGACAGCTATACTTCTAATTAATACTGCCAGAAGGCGCGTATTGGCCTGAGGCCACCAACATGAGTCACAGAGTGGCTTGCAAAGGGATATGCCACTTGGGCTTATGACTTACTCTAAGTGTCTAACCCAAAAAGATTTTGCAGTTACAGATCTACGAAGAGTTGCCATTTACAGTATTGTTTTATTTTTCTGCTTTAAGGGTCCACCTGGTCCTCGTGGCGAGACAGGTCCTCCCGGCCCTCAAGGTCCCCCAGGTCCCCAGGGCCCCAACGGGCTGTCAATCCCAGGAGAACCGGTGAGGGGTCGTTCTGAGTGTGGGTGGCACCATGTGTGGAGGCAGAGCTGGCCCAGGGGGTTGTGGGCTTGGGAAGAGGGTGGCAGCTTGGACCTAACATTCCTTTTGCCCTGCAGTGCAGTACTACTGTGAAACAAGTCTCTTCCAATACAATATCTTTTTCTGTCCCGAATGTTACATGTGCTTATGGGATGTCTGTGAAGGGACAAAGAAAAGCTTCATCACGATGGCCTAGAGGTGCCAAACAGCAAGAAAGGTCAAACACATTCCTTTACATGTGGAGTACAAGAAATACTTTTGTTACTCACATTCAGTTTGAAAACCTTTGAAGAATGAAAACACCAACAAAACCAACAAAATTCTTGGAAGTTCCCATTAGTTAACAAAGTTAGAGCACTGCTTATAACTTATGTAATTTCATTTTCATATCAATTGCAATTCACAGCGGCAGGCTGTGTTTACAACTTCTTTGATTATTTTTGTGCCATCAGCAGTTATTAATGCTGGATTATCATGCAAACCACTGTGGAAAATAGATATAATATCGTCAAATTTAGCTCATGACGGTTTAGACTGTGCATTTGTACTACAGTGCTGTAGTATACGTGGAACGCAGGCAAGTTGTGAAAGGCAATACATTGCTTCTTTACGTGCACCTTGTGTCCTGGAAGTGTGTAATGCCTTTTAGACCATGGGTTAGAGAAAAACAGTGATACCTTAAAAAGACCAGCCTTTTACCTTTTGTGAGTGTAGACAGCTCCATCCACCAGCTGAGAAAGATAAGGGAGGTTGGGAGAGAACATGTAACCCTTCCCTGCTTCCCTGCTTTCCTGCTGGTGAAGACATTGGTGTCAGTCTCTTTTACTGAAAAGTCCATGTCACTTCCTTTTCAAAGTCTATACCCCATCCAAATATCTGCTTGCCCATGTTTTCAATATAATGTCAACCAGTCATCTTGCACTTGCAAATGTTTGTGAGATGATCGGTATTGCTTCGTTAAGAGGTATAGGTATCTTGATTTATTCCATAATACGTAGTTGGCTTATGGATTCCTTAATTTAGGTATCTTGCAGGAAATACTTTGCATCCATTTACACCAATTAATTATTTTGCTGGCCTGTTTTGTAATTCAGAATGTCTAACAATCATTTATGGAAATTATAGGGTCGTCAAGGAATGAAAGGTGATGCTGGCCAACCCGGACTTCCAGGGCGATCGGTACGTTGACGCTTAGACACGATAATGTTTTTTTACACTATTCCTGATGCAGGCTGGCTGCTGGACAGCTGTCTTTGACATCACTAGGAGTCATGAGCTCTTCTCATACCTTCCTAATCAATAGTTTTGGAAACATAATTATCTTACACTTAGGAATTTGAAACGTAAGAAATAGTAAACCATTCAAAACAGCAAGAGTGAAAGAACAGCTGTACTGGGTCAAGCCCAGTGTCCCTCTGGACAGCTGTGAATGCACAGGGACAGACCCCTGGATTAGCAAAAGTACACTGATAACTCCCCAGGAAGGTCCCTCAACTTCTGACCCCCTGCAATTAGATGTCTTCCTGAAATAAATGCAAAACCTTTACTGAACCCCTCTTCAGCAATGTTGTCTAATTGGTTTCTACTTTTGGAAGTCAAATGGTCTTGAGACATTAATTGTATGCTTTCCGAAAGGAGAAAGTGATATGAAGTTTCACTTACTTGCAGGTTTCTATATTGTAAACTAGGATTAGTTTTTGAGGAGAAAAAATAAGGGGTTTTTTGGATAATCAGCCAGATTTGGATAAACTAAGGTCATTGATCTGCACCTGTGGTGAGTTATAGACATTTAGGGAGTAGTAATGTCCTGGAGAAAGCAATGCTACATTGAAGTGTACAGTGAGATCCCCCAGAGAAGGGGGAAGAACATTACAACGTGATGCAAGGCCTCTCAATATCCAGTTCCTGCAGCAGTGATACTGATCCTACCGAGTGCTGGGTGAAATTGTTCCTGAGTGTCCTCTAATGTAGCCTGCCTGTTCAATTTTAGGGTTTATTCTCTACCTAGAAACTACAAGGAACAGAAACTGAGAATTTAGAATGTGCACAATGAAGCAGCAGAATGTTAAAAAAATAGGACAATAGGGTGAAAAGAGTAATAAAGGAAGAGTCCAATTGTTGTTTCTTTAGATACACTCTGATGGATGACTGCAGCTAGACTTTAGCACCAGGTGTGAAAGGATTAGCTGACATCTGTAAGTCACGCTTGTAAAGGCAATAAACCAGATTTGTCTGTTTTATGGGAGCAGTGCTGAAAATTGTTTTTGAAGTTGAATTATGGGCTGCTAAGGGAATGGAAGTAAGAAGCAGAGTGAAGGTGAAGAGTCTTGTATCATATATATGAAAGAAATGGTTTCTCCTAAAGGTTCGTTTTATTTTTGTAAATGCCAAAAAGCAACATTGAAGACAGTTAAATATTTAAATGTGTGCCTGTATACTGGAAAGACTAGCATAGCAGTGATGTTTGTTCTGTCATGGGTACATTTTATTATTCCTTTTCCCTCTAGGGAACCCCAGGTTTACCCGGTCCACCTGGCCCAACAGGACCTCCAGGAGAAAGGGTAAGGTTTCCCCAGTCTTCAAAGACCAAGTAACGGCTCCATAGCCTTCTCCAGGATTAGTTGGGATAGCTGTTTTTATAACTTACATTGTGGATGAATTTTAAAATACAGGCTAGTAGTAATCAGGAGTATTGCAATTACATGAGCTTAAAGGCTATTTTATTCAAGCTACAATCATAGGTTAGTCTCTAATCACGTTTTGTTTTTGAATAGGGTTTCACAGGAAAAGATGGTCCCACAGGTCCCAGAGGCCCACCAGGACCAGCGGTAAATATAATTTTGTCTTTGATATACTCTGAAATAAGAGACCTGAGTCAAGAGAGAGCCACATTGCCATTTACAGTTTCTGTCAAATATCAAATGGATCCTTTGTTTAGTGTCCTAAATGCGTCTGGGAAGCTCTTGGTAAAAGGTGAGCAGAGCGCTGTGTAAAGCATGTCTTCAGAAACATTCGTAAGAGTGGTTTTGAAACTGATTTCAGTGGAAATTAGAGAAGAACAAGTTTACCTGGTTCTTTAGGCATGATCTTTAAATGCATAGCTAGGTCTGCTGAAACCAACCAGCTTATTACTTGTGGTCTAGTGAAAACAAATGCTGTTAATACAAGTTTTTTGTTGACAAGAATATCTGAGGATGAGTTTTTGCTTCAAAAGCTACTTTACTGTGTTCTGTTGGGACCATGTTAGAAGAGGTGCTGGTTGTTAGAACACATCATGCTGGATCGGACAGCCCGAGATAGGCAAGGTGCTGCAGCTCCGTGTTACCAGGTCCAGCCAGTAGTGAGATAGAAGATGTATTCCCAGTAGCACACGTACACAGAGGACACATTGACAACAGGTATGTTTATACAGACAGGAGTCACAAGGGCATGCTGTTATTTGGGATGCTCCCGCTCCCCCATGGTTGTCTTTCTGGTTGTCCTTTGTGGGTGTGCAGATGAGCTTTTATCACATAGCAGCACTCATCTCCTGTCTGTTCGGAATTTGTGTAGTATCACCAGAATGACCTTTATGGACTTCTTGTGGACTTTTACATGGATCACAGACCTGCTAGGTGACGTTAGAAGGCCAAACTGTCTGGTGCTCCTTTAGGAATGTTATTAAGAGCGATACCAAAACCACATAGACACTCTCTGCATCTTTGGACTCAGAAGTGCCTGCTAAACTGGGGTATTATGTAAAAGGACACATTTCCATGAAGAAGCAAGCTATTTTTTCTGGAGGAATGTTTTAAAAGCCTGATGTGTAACCAACAGAAAAAAATAACAGATAGGAGCCATTTTCGGTGTTTCTTTGCACTCAAAACAATAACATTTCTTATTAGCACCTAGGCTGTTGTGGATTTCCACAATTTACTTTACATGTCTTCTGCTCTAGGGTGCCCCAGGAGTTCCAGGAGTTGCTGGCCCAAGTGGCAAACCAGGGAAGCCAGGAGATCGTGGGACACCAGTAAGATAATGATGCACTTATAGTATCAAGTTTAAAATTACAGTCTGTTGATGAATACGAGACTTCTTGCTTTAAATACTTGTCTTGCACTTATGACAGTGGTTAATACAGTGGAGCTGACCTAAGACCACAAGCCTTTTTTTTTTTCAAACAATTTTATTTTTACAGCATGTCATTTTGCTGAGTTTAATAGTTGGGGCTGGAAATTGTGGTCTCTGGTTTCCACGGAAAAGATCATAGGCTATTATGTGCCAAGACGTATATTCCTACACTGCATCAGCATGAAGAACTGGGTCAGCAAAATGACTGGAAAGTCTTTATATTTGTGCATGTGTCTGTGTAGTAAAAGTGGAACACTGCTGAGGGGGGACAATTTTTGATAATGTTACATAATCAGTTCTGGTTTGCAAATGTTTTGCGTTTTTTACAATGTGATTTTGAAATTGTTTGGGGGTTGTTTCTGTGGGCTCTATTCAAACCTTTAAAGTTAAAGTACATCCTGAATAGAGAGAAAGAGCAGGAGGTGCTGCCTTCTACCACCAGTTTCAGGAGAAATTTGAATTGATTCATTTATAAGATCTCTGAGAAATTATGCTTGAGTCAGGAGTGGAGACAGCAACTGAAAAAGTCTTTCATTGCTTGTACCTTAGAGTCCGTCAATAAGCCAGAATTCTCCATCCTGCTCCAGTGTCATTGTGTGTATGACAGCTAGGTAATTTGGAAGAATATATGATAGGCTGGGCAGCTTGATGGGGATGAAATTGAAGTTCCCAGGAGCACCTGGTCATTTTCACATACACACACTAAATTCACACTGTGTTTGCTAGCCTATAAATCCCATTTCTCCTTGCAGTAGAGGACATTGAGTGTCTTAGGAAAGCACTGACTCTTTCCTGCCTTTAGACATACATTGCTAATGTGATTCTCCTGCCACGTCAGATGCTTGATAGACCTAGCTGGGGCACAAGGTGCTGCGGCTTGTTCACAAGTGAGCATCAAACTACCAGGTGAATCTGAGTTTTCCTTCAGCTGGAACACTGGGCAGCTGACCCAGTTAGCAGAGATCTTCTGCAGGTAAATAATGTGCATAGAAGGAAATGTGGCTACAAGGTTCAGTGCTTTTGTGAAGCAAGGCAGTCAGCTCCTGTCCAAGCACCGTGTGTAAGTTCTCCTACACTCTCATCTTGAGAGTTCCTTTCAGTTAGAAATATTTTTTTTCCAATTATTGCCCTTTCTTGTAGTGGGACACTGCGTATCATAGTTACCATTTCTTATGTTTCTAGAACAGAACCCAGCAGATGCACCTTGCACAGATGTTTTATCAGACTCCTGGCGGACAGAATTTCAATGCTTTCCTTTGTGTCCACTATTAGAATTGCCAAAGGTGCAACCTTATGGCCAAATGCCACTTGCAGTGTCCTGAATCAGGCCTGCCTGAGTGCCTAACATCCTGTCCTGGAGAAAGATAGTAAGGCTTCACATTGCCTCTGGGAAATACAAGGAGTAAATAATTTTCAACTACAGCCTGCCGTTTTTTCTTCTACCTGAACAGTCTGTATTGTTGATACTGTGCAGCACAAGTATAGACCCCTACAAGGCTAGAAACATTACATCCCGGGAAAGGATGCAGTTACATGGAAATTATGAGGAGCCGTAGTGTTGCAAAGACATTTCCAGTGAGTACGGTCAATTGGAGCTCTTTCCTGACGTGTTAAATACCACCAACGTGCTAAGCTGGGGCAGACCACACCGTGAATGTGGCTGTGAACATTTCTCTACCTCAATGTGTACTTATACGAGAAAAAGTTGGTAGTTGAAGCGTTAGCTCAATTTTCATGGACGTAGGAAATTTGACTTTATAATCTACTTGGAAGTACTTTAAAGAGAAACATGAATTTTTTTTCAGCGTAGTAACAAAACCAAGAAAGAAACAGTAAGAACACAAATGAGTCAGTAAGTCTATTGAGAATTGAGCACTGGCTATCCTGGAGGAAACTGGTATATCTGTCCCCTGTCTGCTCAAGCATGGAGTGAGGGTTTGGTGACAGTCCATACGTATATCGCAGGGTAGCAACCAGCAAGGGTAAGAAAGACTCATGAAGCTAAAAGAGGATATTGGCTCAAGAAGAAATGGATATACGTTTTCTGTGGATAAATGTAGTGGGAAATAGAAGAACTTGCTCTATCAGAGAAGAAAATTTCCAATGCTGTTGTTTGATAGGTGTGAGGCTGAAAATGGTAACGGATGGGTAGGCAGACTCAGTCATCTTCAGGTGGAGCTGTCTTGTTTCTAGACCAGACTGTGACAACAGGCTCTGGCTTTGGTGGTCTGGAAGGTCCCCAGGAAATAGTGCAAGGCATTTAAGGCATTTACGTTTTATTAGAAGGTGCTAGTAGATTGATGCCTCCAGGACTAAACAGCCTGTGAAAACCTTTAGAAGGTAATTCCAAGCACGTAAGGGAGGTGGTTGTTGTGAGTTAAGTGCAGGTGTTGGGTATTTTCCACTCTCTGCTGACATGTGTTTGCTGAGCTTGTGTCCATCTGTGCAGACATCCTGGATGAGTTCTCAAAACGGCTCTGCTTTGGGAGAAGCAAACTGATGGTTCTTGTGGGCAGTAAATGTTGTTTTGGGGAAAACAATTGAGTGCATTATCTTTTAAAGTAAAAATAGCAAAATTTCCTTTGATTTGTCCTTCTTCAGCTGTAGAACTTTGCTGCAGCCCCAGCCTTCATCCCACAGCTCAGAAAAATCCCACGTCCAGCATAAACTAGCTTTTCCTCACACTGACCCCAAGTAACTCCTCCATTGCAGGATATCAACAAAACAGAATTTCAGCAGCAGCTGCTGCTTCTCAAAATGCTGGCAAGCATTTGGCTAAATTGCATGGTTTCATCTATTAAAAGAAAATAAACTGAAATTTAAGAAGAATATAACCAAGTGGGAGGAAGATGCGAATAGCAACTCAGCAATTGCAGTTGTGATTATTTTTTGGAAATTATGTTTCTAAAATATTCAGGTGGAAAATGAACTTTGTTGTTAACATAACCAGTCAGCCCCTAATCTTCAAATTTTAAAATTAGTTGGAATAGGCTAGAGATTTCCACTCATAAGCCTGAATCAATGCATCCTTGCAAGGTCACAAATTGAAGAATGAAGCTCACTTGGTTTCAATTAATTGTGGAATTGACTGTGTATCGCTTACAATTCAGGAATGGCCTATGGCATTTTTCTAGCTGGGGGACCTTTGTTGGCAATACTTTGGGGCAATATTGTGCTTTTGTTACCAGGGCACCTTCCTGTCTTACCAACATGGCTTGTGGCTGAAGACAGCCTGAGGAACTTTTCTTGACTGGTCAGCAAAAATATTTCCAGAAATAGTATATATGATTTGAACATTTTATGTTTGCTTCTTTTTTTTTTAATTTTCTGTGTTTAGTTCTGGTGTGTGAATGTTCTAGCAGGTGAATCCATTGGAACATGGCACCTAAGTAATGATTAGACTGTTTCTGCTATAGTAGACCGGAAATCTGATTTCTAAAACTTGCGCTTAATGAATAAGCATTAGCATTTACCACAATGGTAATTATTAGAGAATGAAAGTAGAAATTTAATATTTTTCTGATGGTTTTCATTGTTATGGTTTATTTATGTTGTGGCATTTACAAGTCCATGGTCTGTTTCAGCATGTGGCTGTGCTCAGCTAAAACTAAAAGACAGACCTGTTCCCTGTGGACTCACAGCGTAGAGAGAGATGAAGGAGAAAGGGAAAGAATATTAACAAGTTTGATGGGTATATTGTGTACATACTCGTAATTGTCTCGTTGGTGGCATAATTTATTCCAGTGGCACATTTCTGGTGTTGCCACTCTAAATCTTTCATTGGAGTCCATACCGTTAATTTGGCATGAGCCATCTGCTATGCATGGTGCAAATGTACCATTTGCCGACTGCTTGACTCACTGATAGATGAGCTGCCTCGCGGTTGCTGTGGCATGTCCTGGGGTAGCTGCATGCACCACTGCTGCAGAGGAGCTCAGATAGGCATGCTGAGCTCACACTCTGACATACCCCAGGGGAACTTGTTTGCCCGAAACCTTGGGGAAGTCTACGAAACAGTGCCACCACCTTGGAACTGTATCCACTGTGACCTCAGCGGAATGGCTTGTTGTCTCGTGTTGTTGAAATTGATTGCGGGCGCTGCAGGAAGGCTATGAGAAACAGCTGCAGCCCACACTGAGCCTGTGCGTTGGTGATGGTGATAAACAGGCTCCTCAAAGAAACACTGCGATGTAAAGAGCAGTAATGCTTCGGGTGTGTGTGACTGTGTGGAGAGCCATGCAGAGCAGCAGATGACCAGACTGGCCTTTCACCTTTGAAATATGCCTCATGTTCAAATAGTAGTTTAGGCTACACGTGAAAATTGGTTTGAACTCATACTCGCCCCTTTTTGCTTGCCTAACAAAGCTCCTGCAGTCCTTGGACACGTGCTGGCAGGTGAATTTCCAATTGATTTTTAGAAGGACTCAGCTGTGGCCCAACTCTGTGTCCACTGAGGTCACCTGGAAAACTCACACTGGCCACTTCAGGAGCCAGAGTTTGGGGCAAAGTTTTGTTTGTACCACCCTGAAATTTGACACATGGCATTTGTCACAGCGAGTGTTCAAGAGCATTGGAAGGGCTGTTCGTTATGGATACCTAACCAGGTCTTGCAATAAATGCAGTTTTCTTTTCTTTTTTTTTTTTTTTTTTAAATTTTGTATTTTGATGTCAAAATTAAAATAATAGTCTTAAAACACTTTGCAGGTTTTTAGTTTTTTTAAAAAGATGACCTAGTGGATAAAACAAACGACTGTGAATCTAATTTTCTACTTATTTTAAATGGGCATCTGCACTTTTTACAGTGGCCAAAATCACGTCAAATAGACCAAAGCAAGTTATAAACATCCTTATGAGATCACTGCTGTCTGTTTTGAAATATCTTTAAAATCCATCATCATCCATCCATCAAGCATTGTAATTACAGTTTCTTTGGAAAGCATGGCTCGCTCTCTCTTGATGTTTTTCTTTGCTGGCAGTGGAATGCAAACACGAGGCTAAAATCTCAAAGTGTTGTGTGAGAGGTGCACACACAAAGTTTTGTTTGCAGAGTAGATTGTGTGTGCATCTCTCCAAGTCAGCATTTAAGAATATTTTTACAGTGTACCTGATATTTTTCCAGCCATAGGTGCATACATATATAAAAACTAGAATCAGTCCTTCTGGTTGACTTCTTACATAGTATTCTTGAAAACCAAAAAAAACCTGCAACAACCAGTAGGGTGTTCAAATGCAAATGGAAATTGCTGTCAGACAAAAGCTAGCTCCTGACACATGTCAATAATTATAAAGTAGGTCAAGCTAGGACTTCTGTGAGACTGTTTTAAGACTAGAAATGGTTGAGAATTAGCAGGGAAGTTGTCTTTTTAATTAGAATAAGCACTTAATGGCATTTCTCTCCATCTTATGTGTCCTCTCTGCATAGTGCTTTTTTGCTTAACACAGGGTCTGTTTCTTGAGGGTTCAAGGAGACATCAACCCTTCCTAGATATGAGTTATTCTTTCTAGTTCACCCTCCTTAATGATGAGTTGGCTTAAGACTCATATAACTATATGTATCACTCATATATACATATATATATATACATAACTCTTACAAGACCTTTCACCATTTACAGAGATGTGCTGCTAGAAATTCAACTTTAAAATTGCCAGTGCAGTCCCAGTGTCAGAACACGTTGGTTTCGTTGGCCCTCGTTTGAGTTTTTCCTTCAGATCTTTTTCTTCTGCATCTCTCAATGTGTTTGATCATACACGAAAGATCATTGCTTGTCCGTTATTTTCTGGCACCTGCTTTAGCATCTGTGAAATGTAAAGTTCAAAGAGGACCAGATCTGTCTTCTTGGAGGAGTCAAATATTTTCTAAAATTGCATGTCTCAAACCTATAGGTGAGGTGGAATAACGTAATCCTTTGGTTGTTTTATTTTTACTTTATTTATTTTAGGGTGCACCTGGAATGAAGGGAGAAAAAGGTGACAGAGTAAGTCTGCTTTAAAGTTAGTTTTTCTTGGATTTTTAAGTTAAACACTATGTCTTTAAAAGCACAGACACTTGCTAATAAAACACTTGGTTTGGTTTTGATTACTTAGGGTGACATTGCTTCCCAGAACATGATGCGAGCAGTTGCCAGACAAGTTTGTGAACAACTGATAAATGGTAAACAGTGTTGCTTGCTTTGTTTCTGCTACTAGTAATTTACTACTTTGCTTGTTAAAAGAAAAAACAATGGTTTAAATTTAAGGTGAGGGATATTGGCCGCAGAGCATAACAGGAGCTTGAGTAATCTGATAGCTGTCCAATGGCAAGGATTTGGTGGAAAAAAATGTAGCACTAAATTTTTTCCGGATCCAAATGGCTAGCTTGATCATGAGCTAATCTGTGACCTTTGGAAATACACATGCCAGTCTAATACTCTGTAAAAGGAAGGTGACTTTGCTTTTGTCGGTCTGGTCCAAAGCTATTTTATCTTTGTAATTGAATCAGTATACGCCTTGTCATTAAACATGTCTTATCTTCAGGAGGAGAGAAGCGGTGAGAAAAAGGATGCTCACTGCAGGTACTTTGCTAGCAGGAAAAGACAGATCAGTGGTGGGTAAATACTGTGCACAGAATCAGCTGTGCTGTGCAAATAAAAATTATATTTTTTTTGGTAAGGACTCCAGATAGAATTTCAGTCCTCTAGTGCAGCACAGTACAGCTCTGCAGCCCATGACAGTGTTCGCTGCAGAGCTGTCTCCCTGTCCCCGAGGCAGTGCTTTTGCTGTCTGCAGACCTACCGAGGAGGACACAGACAAATATGCCATAAATCGTTCTTAATATTATTTCATAGAAATAGAGATAAGGGCAAGTGCTGGCTGAGGCAAGCAGATAGATCTTTTGGATCATTAAAGATGCTTGCGCACAGGGAGGGGGCCAGTACGTCCTTTGAAATGTCTGTGCTTGCTGGTACTTAAAATGTGTCTGTTAGTTGGCCATTGCAGAGGAGGGGAAGTACATTCAGAAATGTATGAGGCTTATGAATAAAGACGTCTTATCTTAGATCTTTTACCGTCTATTTTTTTTTTTTTTTAACATCCCTGCCTTATTTTTGTTGTATCAGCTCACCTCTCCAGGGTTATGCTGGGACTCGCACATTACACTATCCAGGGTTAGATGTGGCCCCCCATTGAGGGCTCCTTTCTCCATAGCTGCACGGTCCTGCTCCTCAGGCACCTTTCTTCGGAAATGAAATTTGCCTGTATGCAGAAAACATGTAGGTACAAGCCTGTGCCTTCTAAGAAAGCAACTTCAGAGGCTGTGTGCCGCCAGATCTACGGGTGAATAATTTATTTTGTGTTTGTGGTGGATTCAGAGCGCTGAAAGTACGTGGAAATGGGATACTCCACCTTCTGTTCTTCAGAGTAGAAGCTCTAATTAGAGTTCTCGGAGCAAGAATATTGTAAACAAATGCTTATTTTGTGACTTTTATTGCTTAAATTTCTTTTTTGTTAATGTTATTGGCTTTCAGAATCCCCCTTACCTTTCTTCCCTCCCTCCTCCGTTTGTGTCCTGCCTTCTTATCAGACATTCGTTTCAGTCTTCCTAATTCAGCTGAACAAGTTTCCTGCTAATGTATTGAATGGGAGCAAAGATAGGATTTAGTGAAGAGAGATAATTTGTTATTCCTTCCAACTCTGATAAAAGACTTTTACTCATTTCACATGGTTTGTTGAACCATTTTTTCTTTCATTTTGAAGGTCAAATGAGCCGATTCAATCAAATGCTGAATCAAATCCCAAATGATTATTATTCAAACCGTAACCTGCCAGGGCCACCAGGGCCACCTGGTCCCCCAGGAGCTGCTGGGACAAGAGGAGAGCCTGGACCTGGGGGAAGACCAGGATTCCCAGGGCCTCCTGGTGTCCAAGGACCACCTGGTGAAAGAGGTGAGTAAATTCCAAGGCAGCTGTGTGTTTTCCAGTGGACGTAGGGCAGAGGCTGCCAGAGGAGCAGCATGATCCCTTTACCATGTCAGAGTAGGAAGCTCACACCTAGCGGTAGCCTGTTGGGTCGGTTGGATTGCCTGAGGGACACTGGCGTTCTGGAGGACAAGGTTAATTACATCAGTGCTTTCCTCTGTCTCTCCCTTGCTCATATTTCACGAAACACAAGTTGGTGTAACGTTTTGGCTGCTGCCTCAGGCTTCCACAGGATATCCTGGGAAAGTGAATATTCTCAGAACTCTTCTGGCACTGCACGGCTACATCTTGAAAGGCTGTTTGAGTAACAGAACTCCTTGCAAAACGCTGATTAAGAGAAAACTAATCATTACCAAGAATAAAAACTAGGAGTTGAAAGAATTAGGTCTCCATCCTTGGCTCTTTGCAGTACTCTGAGAGAGAGAAGTGACTCTGAGCTGAGTTTGATGGATAAACTTATTTTGTAGCTACCTTGGATCCCTGCAATGACATGGAGTAGTATTGGAGTATGTTGTGGCCTTTGCTTATTCCAGCTGCTCTACAGGAGCATAGACTCAGTACTGTGTTTTCTAGCATATATTTTAGTATAATATTAAAAAAACACAGGAAAATAATCAAAGAAGAATGAGTTATTGAATTCTGCTCTTTCTTAACTGATTTCATCATAACTGTTTCTAAGAAAGTGTAAAGCATCCTTTACAGCAGAAGTGTGCAAGCTTGAAAAGACCTTCCTTTGTAGTTTAAAATAATAAAGTTCTGTGGTGTTTTAAGTATCTCAGAGACTTTTCTATGTTAGAGAAAGTTTATTCACACTAAATTACCTCTGCATCCTGCTTCATTTTTAGCTTAGTATATTTATATCCAAATTATTTTCCCAAATGCACACTTGAACATCTGTACAAAATAAGGTTTGACCAGCCTTGTTGCTTTAATAATAGGAACTAAATATTAATATAAATGAGAGAGCATGAAGAAATATTTGTTGATGTGGTTTCCTTCCTTTGGTTTTTTTTTTTTTCCTCTGTAGGAATGCCTGGAGAGAAAGGCGAAAGAGGGACTGGATCTCAAGGACCACGAGGTTTGCCGGGACCACCTGGTAAATATTTCTCGTTTTATCGGATTACAGAAAAGTAGGAGAAAAATACAACATTTCTTCATAGAGAACCAGGCTATATATGGTGAATGAACATGCTTTACTCTGTCCACTTCATGTTTTTGACATATACTAGAGATTGCTGGAAACCCCTGCAAAAAAGGGCCGTTTAGAAAGATTTTTTGAGGTGGTAATAGGTATTTATCTTTATCTTGTAATTTACTCATCTGGCATGCTTGCTTTTGTGTGAAAATGTATTTCATGAAAATTTGTCCAAACACTTCCGCAGTATCCAGTTCCATTTTTCACTTGTGATTACAGAACTACAAATTGTCCTGGACTACAAAAATGCTCCCACATGCAAGGTTACCAGATGATGTGACCATTGGTTTTGCTCTTTGTAGCATGCAGTTTTGTTCCCTGATGCCTTGTCAGAAATCAGCTGCATCATTTTTTTCTGCCTGCAGTTGACTGGGCTAAATACGGTTTTCCATTGCAGGACCCGTAAGATGCTCACAGCAATTTGTAGCCCCAGTTACTTGAAGCTCTACTTTTCTGCTAACCATAATAAAACTGGTTCCAAAAAAAACATTACCTCATCTATCCTGGGACTGAAGGCTAGAAGAATTAATGTACTCCTATATTTTAATTGAAATCCAGTGTGCTTGTCTAATCTAGTAGTTTCCCTTGAGATCCTTGTATCTGACACAGAGGAGAAATAAGCCAGAGAATTCATTGAAGTTTCTTACTTGGCTCAAAGCTTACTAAATCAGTTTCTGTGAGTACATCCTTAAATAAGCCACACACAGGGAAGCAACAAATGATGAGTCACATTTCTAGTTTTCCTTTGTTTTTCTTTCTGTTAACCCCCATATAGCAACAACGTGTTTTCTCACCAGGGGCTTGGCCTGGTCTGTGTAGTCTAGACAGCAGGAAATCTAGAAAACAAACCACCAGCATTTCAATTCTAAAATTAGGTCCCCAAGGAGAATCTAGAACTGGCCCACCAGGCTCCACAGGATCACGAGGACCACCAGGGCCACCAGGTCGTCCTGGAAATGCGGGTATTCGAGGTCCACCGGGGCCACCAGGGTATTGTGATTCATCCCAGTGTGCTAGCATCCCTTACAACGGCCAAGGATTCCCAGGTAGGTTATGAACAGCTTCACTTGCCCCCAGTAGCCTTGGCAGATGTCCTGTTCATATTGAGCTGCTTTCCATGAGGCAGTCCTGCTAGCCTGGACACCCTGGCTCAGGAGGACATGGCTGCAGTGAGCAGAGCTGCCCCATTGTCAGGTGCAGGTCTATGAGCAGGCATTTGGACTTTGATGCCAATATACTTCATGTTATGTGTGATGAGCTTGAAATAGGAAGTAGTAGCAAAATGTTTTAGTCTTTTTTTTTTTTTTAAACATAGATGGTTAGTAATTGATAATGTTGCTTATAGGATTTAAGTGACCATTTTCTTCTTCTTGTTTTTTCCCCTCCATCCCCACCCCTTCCAATCGTCTTCAGAACAAGGTTGAATTCTCCATGTTTCTCTTGAAAAATAAAGAGAATGCTGTGGTTGGCAATTTCCGTGTGTCTCTTTTTGAGCAATGTCAGGATTATTTATTACAAAATTGATACCTGAAACAAATTTTTTCCACGAAGGATATCCATTCGGTGATACAGTGCAGATAACTGAAAACCACCACTGTCCTACAATTTCTACCGAGTTAAAACCCACGGAGTTTCTGATTAGCCCTGGGTCGCATCAGCCGTCTACTCTGTGATATAGCTCAAAACAGTAGGAATCAAAATAAAGGGTGACAGCGGCCACCAGTTTCTGACTGGGAAGATTCTAATGTATTTTAACATAGGGATCCTGCAGGACCACAGTATTGTTAACAAATTAATATGTATGCATTGCAACGTCTCAAAATTAGTGTATGTGATACTACTATTGGATATGGTTTGCTGTTAGTGTATTGTGCATGTACCCATGAAAAGAAAAAAAGAGAAAAGATATATATATATGTATATGTACACACCTGTGGGCTCAGCGCTGCTGGTCAAAGAGACAGGTGGCTGTGCAGATCGCACTCAAAATTCTTATTTAAACTAAAAAGAAATGAAAAATTGTGCCTGTGATTCAGCAATGCTCTCCTTTCCAGTAAGCAGCTATGTATACATATATAAATATATGCCTATGACTTAACTGTAATGTACTTAGTTGGATGAAAGTATGTTTTTGCACATCAGATGGACTTTTTAAAAAAGACTAACATCATCTTTGACCTGTTTCAGGTTTCGGCTAACATTTTCTAAGTCGCCAGTGCTGCTTACAGTTTGAATACATGAAAATCCTGTTTCTGAGATGTTTGCGCACGTGCTTATTAGAAAATGAGTCCGTATGGATATTTCATCACGGATATGGTTTTTGAACCATGTTGGCCTCATAGAATGGGGAGATTCTTTTTACTAACACGACTCGTGAATGAGATAAAGGACAGTGATGTCAATTCCTTAAGCCTGTTGCATTTCAATAATAAAATAGTCTTTCTTTTTTAAAAAAAGACCCAGACCATCCAAAGCCTCAGTGGTGAAGGAGGCTTATAAAACTACTAACCAGCAAAGGTAATGTCGTTAGAAGAGACAGATTTAACCTGGTAAGCGAGAAATGACTTGTGTAAATAGTAAACTAATTGTGGCTTGTAAATGATTTGTACGGGACCGTATCCACTAAAATCTGTTAACAAGTCTAAAAGCCTGCTGCTGCTTGCTACGTGCCAGAATAACATCTTTGACAACTTATGAACCCTACCTGTCTGTTGCTTGTTCCCAACGTGTCTGAATGGGGGCATGTGCCTTTCTTATATGTAACCTTGTTGGATTCTGTAACTGCAGTCATAAATACCAAAGTTTTATAATTATTTTTCTTCTGTTTTGCTGTAGTTTTTGGTGTTCCTGAAGCACCAGCTGTAACTCGGTTTGTTACGAGGAACAGCACAAGAAAATGACGTGTGCTGTATATTGCCGCTGGTGATAGTTGTGTGTACACTGCCCTTCCCATTCTCAGAGAAAATCAGAATATGCCAAACCCACCTCTTTGTTTTACCTGCTCCCTGTCTTCTACTAATTACATAGTCTGAAATAAAGTCCAGTGCTTGGATTTACCGAAGTAGCTGTAAAATATTATTTTTATTTGATTTGCTTTGTTTTTATTATCTTTTAAAATAATTGGTCCCTTGCATAATTTAAGACTCTTTCTGCAATGTTTTTGTGTATTATAAATACAAAGCCTTTCAAATTTAATTTTAAACTTACTATTTTACTGTCAAAAGTATTCATGAACAAAACTGAAAAATCCCCCCAGTGAACTAGCAATTAGTCTCTTGATTCTATGGAAATAAGATTGGGCTAACATTGTGTAGACTGACTTTCATTGTGTTTGTGGATTCAAAGCCATGTGATAACTATTGTGTTCAATCGGACAACTATTTTCAACCAGAACCATACGTGCCTGAAAGTGGACCCTATCAGCCTGAGGGTGAACCCTTCATAGTACCTATGGAGTCAGAAAGGAGGGAGGACGATTATGAGGACTATGGAGTTGAAATGCACTCACCAGAATATCCTGAGCACATGCGCTGGAAAAGGTCGCTGTCAACAAAAGCAAAAACAAAACCGTGAAAGATCTGTGTCTTGTTCTGGTTCCTTTGTCTGGTGGGTTTTCTTTTTGCTATACTTGCATTTGCAGATACTCACAGGGAGAGTGCATAACTTCTTTTGCAATATCGCTTTCTGGTCTTTTCAGATCAGACGCACCCCTGGTGTGTGTCTTGCTTTTGTGGGGATAGCAAGGTGTGTACCTAGAGACTTCACATTGCTCTGGAAATGCTTGTAAAATACTTTTGCTTTTAGTGGCTGAGTACAGGCTAAGATGTGCATTCAGTTATCCCAGTGCTGCCTTTTCATTAAAATAATGTAAAAACAAATAAATAAAAAAAAGAAAACCAAAAAACCAAAACAAAAATAACCACAGAGCTGCTGCGAATTTTCTGATGACTGTCTGCTTTAGCTCGACTTCAGTTCAGTCAGATCACAGGTCTGCGTTATCTAGTTAAAAAAGAAAGAAACAAAAATTTCCCTCTCCTTCCAATATCATTGTCATTTTCTTCTATTCTTAGTTACACTTTGCAGAGCACATACTGCTCTTATGCATCTCCTTTAAACACCACAAACATTAAGTAGCTGAAACCATAGTATCAACTGGATACAGTTTAATAATGCCTGAAATCTCCTTCTTTGTAGACAGAGAAACATTTATGCCGAATTGCAGTCAACCCTGCAGACATGGAATTGCATGTTCATGTTGTATATTTAGTATGGAATTTTTTTTTCAGAATACTATGTTTCCTAGTTATCGAAAGCAGTTGGAAATTGTTTGCAAGACTATGGATATAGAATTGCTGCTTTTATATTTTAACTGCAAATTGTGAATTTCACTGCCTTATATTATTTATTTCTGAAATGAAAGAGGCATTTTTCAATAAAACTACTGAAAATGTATGTGTCTATCCATTTTTTGAAAGGCACAGTGAGACTGATGTGTGTGTATTCTATTGGGGTTCTTTACTCAATCATGTGGAAATGTCAGGCACCACAGATCAACTAGAATGAGAAGAGTCCTAAGAGAGGTGTTTGGGCTGTGGTATTTAGACATGGGTGGGTGATGGCGGGAGGGGCTTCCTCTGTCTGAGGGGTGAAGGAGACTGGGAACAGATTCAGTCTGCGAGGCGTTTGGTGAAGAAAATGAGAGAGATGCTCTGAGCTTCAGTCGCGGTCGCTTTTGGGGTTTCTGATGGATGGCTGTTGCAGAGAGAAAGACACTTGAACTGCAGTGGGTACCCAAAGCTACACAAGCTCTTAGCTCCTCGTGTGCTGTGAGTATTGTAGCCGCGGCAGCACTGAGTTCAGCATCAGCACATCGCTCACCTGAGGGAGTTGGTGTCTGGTGTTGGCTGAGCTGCGTCCAGCTGGATCTGTCCGTGAGCTGGCTGCTCTCTGGGCACGAAGCCAGATCCATCCACTCAAGCTTTGGTCGTGGTGATGGCTGTAGTGTAGCTTTACCGAGAAAGGGTGGCAGGAGGGATGTGGAAAAGAACAGCAAAACTTACAAGAACAGGAAGATAACTGACCAGAGGAATCACTTGCTAACTGAGGAGGAGAGTGGGCTGGTGGTGATCCTTCCTGCCCAGGGGATCTTAAACAAGGTCTGTCTGAGAAGTGGCGTTCACTGCCGGACCTCCAGCCAAGCCTCTTGCCTTCACTGAGAAAGCTGTCATGCCATTTCGGAAGGTCGTGCAAGACATCTGCCACAGCAGTGAAGTTAAACGTGCAGGCTGGCTTCCTCATCACCGAGTTTTACTCTGCACTGGAACCTGTATGACAAATGTTAGTGTCCACAAATGGAAATTATCCAACACCTCCATAGACTGCCTGCCTGCTTGTCAGTGAAATGAAGTGCAAACAAATAGCATTTCAAAGAGTGATCCTGATTACAGCCATATGCCTTTTGGGCTGTAAGAGAAAAATTATGGGCTGAACCGAGGACCATTTGAAGGAGAATCAAAGCCATTGACTTTTTATGTTTTCTTCTCCCTGCAGAGAGTTAAGTATCGAAAACATGTCCTGCAGTTTGATGTGCAATAAATAAATGCATGTGTCTGGCAGAAAAAAAGATGCTGGTAGTAATTCAGAGAGGTGATTAAAATGTTTCTCTGAGTTGTGTTTACAAATACCAACATCTTGCATTGATCTCCCATCTGTCTTTTTCTGGCATTAGGCATGTCCCTAGGACAAGCTTAACCAGGTGCCCATGTCTTCATGAAAAGGATTCCCTTCTGTCCTCAAACAGAAAGCTTTACCTTATTTAAAGCATATATTTAAAATTATTTTTCTATTATTTCTTCGCAAAATACACCCAGTGCCTTCCAGCCATGGCTTGTATTCTTTGTGTTCTTTGTTAATATCAATCTTAATAGAGATGCTGCGATTTAATTAGCTGGTGGCCTGAATTATTTAAATATTCAGTAAAACCTGACCTTATCGGTAGTCAGTACATTTTAATGACAAAATTCTGCTGACGGATCTGCAGGATGGATCCCAGTTCTGGGATGTGTACTTCCTACAGGCCCAGAATTACAAAGTTTGGGTCACGACCATCTCTGAACTCGAGAGAAGTGCTGATAAGCATTTGTACATCATAAAAGAATCCCCATAATCCCCAAACCTCGTTCACACTTCTTTCACCTGTGTCATAATGTTTGACAAAGGCATCCTTCTTCTGACAGTGCTTTTGGAAGTAAAAAGGACTGGCTCGTGCAAAATATGGAGAAAATACTTGAAATGTCTGGACAACATATAAATGAGTGTTTTCTGGTGGAGGCCAACAGGGAAGAAGAACTCATTTCCAGGAATTCTCCGGGAAACCTGGGGGGTGGGAGTGCGGGTACTGATGACACTTCTGGGAAAGCTGATGCACAGCTGAGCCAAGAAAATCCTGGAGAAATACAGATCAAGGCAAACACAAACAAGTCTGAGTTCCTGACTATCTCATGCACGATGACGCAGTTTACACAGTCTGGCATTTTTAAAGAAGGGAATTGTTTAAAAGCTCAATTTTAGTTGTATATGCATTTTCTCTCATTTTGGCAAAAGCTGTGGCTATGAAGAAGCAGGTGGGAAAGGGCTGCTGCTTGTTTGAAGTTAGGACTGAGCATTGCAGAGAGGACATTAATGAAGACACTCCTCCTGTGTCTCGCAAACATTTGCTCAGAGACCGAGTTCTTTGCATTCCTGATAGGATGGACAGGAAAACCACACAAACACCTGGGCAGTGTTACTGTTTTGTGAAAGCTAAATATTATGGTGATCCATCCTGGAGCGAAGGACAGCATGCGAAGAGCCTTACTTGAAAGAGTGCCTCCTTGAATTTTTATTTCTGGTGTGGTTTTGGATGCCCTAGCGCTGGCTGCACAGAGATGCTGATAAAAGCAGATAAAGGGACAGCGACTGGGTTTGCCAGACAGGAAGAGTTTCAACCAACAACATAAGCAGCTGATCTTTGTTCCCATGAAGGCCCTTTTTGATTTTAAAAAAAAAGTATATTGGTCATAACTTGATCAATCTATATAGATCTTAAGGGCAATAATTCGTTTAACAAGATTCGAAGATAAATGCCACTGTTGAGAGCACGTTAAAGGAGCCACATAGACCTTGAGGTTGTCCGCTACATTTATGGAGTGAAAGAATATGTTGGTATTTTTGCCTGTAACTCAGACCAAAGTTACTAATGGGCAAAAATTCTGGGAGGATGATGTACTGTGAAAACACTTATTATTTTCATGTAAGCTTTAAAAAGAATGCATATAAGAATAAGTACCTTTTGTGTCATTTTACTTTAGATGCCCCAATGAACACACCGAGATGAAGGTAGTTGTATTTCTGGTCTTGAAAGTCAAAAAGATCAGACCAACTTGTAGCCCTCTAGAAAACATAGCTTCTAATAAAGCCTTTTCTTCCTCTGATATTCATCAGATCTCAAAATTTTGCCTTGACCAGCTAATTAAAACATGCACAGCCATCACTTTCACGTTCTAGAAAAAGAGATGGGAAAGAAAGAAAATTCTCATTAAGGCTTTTCCACATCTGAACATTTCTTAGGTGGTTTTCAGTTGAAAAGAACAGACAGCAATTTTAGTGCTGATACACTACTGGCCTCTGAAAAGAAATGCTCAGTTGTGTTTTCATTGAGATATTTTCCCGTGCTGTTTCATATGCTTTCATCTCGTTGTTTTTGTTCTTTTGTGTCGTGAATGACATAACTGAGCTAAGTGTGACAAGCAGCCCCTCAGAGAGTGATTCTGAAAGGCAAAGTGAAATCATGCCTCCTGTAAGTTCAGCTGCATTTGGATAGATTTTCTCATTTTCTTCTTATACATAGCCACAGTTGTCAATACCAGGTGAGATGGTTCAAGATGTGTTTTTATCCCCAATTTGTTTCTTCTACATAATTAAAAAAACCAAAACAAGTATTTTTTTTTTTTTGTGCACTGGAATACAGTGAAAAAATTTAGTCTTTTAACTACAATGGCTTTTAATTTTAACTTTAGTCTTATTTATAGGTAAATAAGCAAAGATATAAAGTCATA